GGGGGGGGGGGGGGGAATAGGTGCTGCATGGCTACCCTTCGGTCTGTCAGTGCACTGACACCAGTGTTCTAGCTAGGACCATTTTTAGTGCCGGGTAAATTTTTGGATTACAAAGCATAGTGAGTGCAGTTCTTAATGCTTTCTGATGCTTGAAATACGATCCAATTGGTACATTTAAATTTTCAGTAATATTTCAGTTTATTTTTTGGAAAATCCATGCTGGGTGGCACAGCCAATTTCAACCCTGAGTGCCGGGCGGAAATTTGCAGTACCGGGTGATGCCGCCCGGCGCCGCCCACTGCGGCTACAACCCTGACTGACACCTCTTTTTCCAGCCACCAAATTTGATATTTTATGGATAATGCCGTGTATGAATCCTTTACTATCCATATTTTGGGCAGTTTGTAGATGTCATGAAAGATTATTCCGTGTACATGAAGGATGAAATGATGGCCGATCCGTCTGCCTACCCGTGGTTCATGTCATTTGTCTACGGGGAATGTCTGCTGCAGTTTCCATTTTTCTTTGTTGCTACCTATGCCTTTTACAAAGGTGGGTGTTTTTTCCACATTCATGCTGTTTTAGTGATTGAAATCCAGGGGTGGATCCATAAGTTTTTTTGGGGGGCTCTGGCCTGTTAGATTTTCGCACATGTAACTGTTATTTCGTTTTTTAAATTTTTAAAACTATTTATTGATATTTCTTGGTTCGGGGGGATCTGTGACAGGAGATATTTGGAAAAGATTAAAAGCCTTTTTGTTTTCTACATAAATTCTAGATACAAATGTGCTACTTTGTGTTGTAATTTTTTATGTCAATTTTCGTAAACCAGCTTGTTTATTTCAATTTGTTGTTTTTTTCCCTCAGGCAGCTGCAAGTGGATTCGAATTCCAGCAATCATTTATTCGGTCCACACCGCTACCACCTTACAAGCTATCCTGGCTCACATCCTCTTCCAGGATTTCTCCAAATCGCCCTACCCGGCCCCGTCCACCTTGGAAGAGCGGCTCAAGCTGTCGGCCATTTACGTCCCTTACCTCCTTCTCCCCGTGCTGATTCTTTTATTGATGCTGTTCAGTAGCGATTACAAGCCAGCTGCAAACAAGCCTGCCACCAACACTGCTGCGCCTCGAACCCGGAAGCAGAAAAGCCGTTAATCAGACCTGTACTGGGCGGGCATGTTTTTCCATTTTATTATTATACACAACTGTCCGGGGATACACCACATACTTTCCTTCTGGAATATGGTTTTTATCACCAGTCTTGAGAGGAGACTAGTCTTCACGTATCATGGAAACCTCCCCCTTTGAAATGTTGGACTTCACTGCCCCTTGAAATTCCTCCAGAGCCACGATTATAGCCTTTATTCAAGTCGTGTTTCTCCAGGGGGTTGTGTGAAAGACATTTTCACTGCCGGGTTGTCTTCCAATCAAAACTGTCTGGTGAAAGGTACACCAGTGATTTGAATACAATAAATTTTCAGGTTAGGAATACTTGTATCTCATTTGACCGTGACCATTTTGTGTGATGTTCAGTGTGTGCAAAATATTACTAGGCCTATTTCTGGTTTTTAATATGCCGAGAAATTTAGGAGCTAAAAAAGTTTGTTGGAGTGTGGTGTTACCAACAAAATTCAGCACTGTCTCGACCTTTCCAGGCGGCTGCGTAGTGGTCTTTTGTTCCTTGTGTTTTCTAGCACTCTTACTAAATTACAAATTCTACTGCTTAAAGTCAAAGAAATGTCAAAAATACAACAAACTTAAGAAAATTTGAGAAATACGGTTTACTAAACCTTAGCAGCGAACTGACAAGATTTAAAGCACAAATCAGACGTTTATTGCAGAATTCTGCATTAGCTTTTTGTTAAACATATGTTGGCAAGGACAGCCTGTAGCTTAATAGCAAAAACCAAGTTTAGTTCAGTTTGAAGCCAGTCCGTTTGGCTAAGAAACCCGCGGTTTACATGATACAGTTAGTTTGTTACTATTGAGATCTTGATTGTTTTAACAGTGACTTCGTTATTGAAATGAAATAAAAGGGTTGAACCTTTTAAAAAAAAGTTTCGTATTGAGGATAGTTCCTGTAGAGGGCGCCCCATAAAGACTCGGGGGGAAATATAAGCGAAGTAAATCATTTGCGATGAAAAAGCTCAACTGCTTTTCTCCCTTCTTTCGTCTGAGTATTGGTCTGAGCTAATTCGCACTAGATGTTCACGTTCGTTCCTGTGCCAAACGCGGTGATCGGCCGATTTCAGTCTACTGACCCCAATTAGGGGGATGTGGCCTTGAGGTTTGTACTGGTAGTTCGGACCATAGGGTCGGGGGGTTCGAATCCAGCTGGTGGCAGCATGAGTGATATTGTCAAGTCACTCTACCCCTACGTGCCTCTCTCCAGGAGTAAATGGGTACCTGTGATGACAGATAGAGTTATGTTTAGCCATTTGCGCCGGGTATGGCAGCATCGGGCTAGTGTAATACTTCTGAGGCCTGGAGTTTTCTGTCTGATCTGCAGAGACCGCCCTTTAATTGAAGAGTGCACCTTTAAGGTCACGCACGTGAGAACACCTGATCTTAACATGAGCCTTACTACAAGTTTATCTGTAATCTGTCTCTGGAAACAATTGTGCTTGGTTTCGATACGAGCAGATGTGTATTTTTTTTCACCTGGTGACGACATTATGACGTTATTATGATGTCACACTTGTTTAGACATGGGGATCAGGATGTTATGTTTCCAGTTTGTACGGTAGGCCCTATATGGAGAAACTCCACAGAAGATTATGGTCCAAAAAAGGAAGAAAGATGGACCGCTACAAACCCGATAGAATGGCCGATGACTTAATAAATTTAAATTTTTGGGCGGTGCATTAAATAATTCAACCAAGGAGGAATGATTACGCGAACGTTTGTCACGGGTAATCGCTTTTGCATGAGCAAAGAATGGCCGCTATATTAAGCCTTTTCAAATCCTCTTAATTGACGCGCTCAAGGCAGGACACATATTTGCTTTCCTCAATCTTTGCCGACATCAAGAAACTTAAAGGGTTGAAGAAACTTTTGCTGTGGATTCCAAATTACATAGATACGATGTACAGGGATACCTCATGACGTAATGCAATGACACAGGAAAAAAAGATTAGACGAGCTATGTCCGGCTCAATTGGCTGTGGCCGAGAGACACATCATATGGGTATGGCTGTAGCCGCTATGCAGTGGCTTCTACCGGCCTCTAGCCGCAGCCATAGCTTTCGGACACCGTCTGTAATGTGGTTCCTTTATCGTGCATCATACACTCAAACCCGTCATTGAAATGCACAAATATGGACGACACCTATGATGCCGACGAAGATGATTCATGAAATGTTGACATACGCCCTCAATCCACACAACATGGTTACTCTCTGAGCCTTGCTTAATTGGCCAATATCCTATTCAAGAAAAATTATTCAGGCAAGCGCAAGAACAAACAAAAACCAAGAACTAAAAAAAACCTTCTATATCCTGTGATTGTACGTACTTAGAGTAATATTCAAACGAAAGTTGACGATTCATGGGTCTTAATTGTATAGTGTATGCTAAGCCCAAAGGCGGGGCTGGGCGAAGCGGGGGGGGTGTTTTTTAACCTCTCCTGTGGTAGGTTCACCGAACTTTAGGCTTCCCGGCTTAGAGGCGCTGACGATGCTTCTCTCCGTTGGCTATGTCCTTGCGTATATGGTATTAGTGGGAGCATACGCCGTTTGTGCATGTTATATGCTTAAGTAAACATGGCCGTCTTTGAGATGCTGTCACGAGGCAACAGCAGAGGATTAGGCGGTCAAGAAACTTTTGTTAGCGGCCCCACCTCTGGCATAAATGCCTGGCGTATGCACACACACGTAGGTACCCATCGTGGAGACGTCACTGGGTCGTACATGACTTGTATACACCTAAGGCAGCTCAGGAAGTGGCCTCATACCACTTGGTGGAGGACTTGACGTCCGTTTTAAGTCCAGCAGAATTCTCGAACATGTCGGCCACGGCAGAGAAAAGTAAGCATCGTGCCGAGCATTTCCATCAATCTCAGGAAGCGAAATTGGGAGTGAGCACTACGTAAGTGTGATTGCAGTGTACTGCCTGTTGCCTGATCATACTTTAAACACTGAAGAGCGTGAAGTCCACATTTTTCTTTTGCGAAATTCCGGTCAAGTCAGTGAACGTGCACAGTGAGTGATTGAACCGTACAAAAAGTTCTTACTGTATGGTGGAACTGGCACGTCACGATGAGAGAAATTTCAACTTTTATCTGAAAAGACTAAAGACCTTTAGACTTTGTTTCGAGCTTTTTCAAAGTGCCGCCTAGCTAGATAGATCTGTCATTCGTTTACCGTTCAGAACATACATTTTCATACCTAGGCCTACATGTGAATTATGAATATAATCGTGAAAACGTTTCCAAAAATCATCCCATAATCTCTTTTACACTTTACTAATGTATTTATTGGTTAATATTCTTCCCACTTAGGTATGCCACAATTCTTACCAAGTACTGGTACGTGATATGCATCATTGTCTTCTCTATGATGGCAGCCTACGGGACAATTGCGTTCACCCTCTATCCACTACCAGACTTCTCCGATCCAGTCAAGGTACGTCTGGACACCAAACCTTTGACAACTAAAAATCAACCTTAATTTGAATTCGAAAATGAAACCTAATTAGACCATACGAAAGTAAACCAAAGCAGACTTTTCCTCGAGAAAATTATTGTGCCGTTTTGAAACAGCATTGTGAAGAGTTGAAAGTCATCCCAACCACATTCGAAGCATATCTGGATCAATCCCTATTGCTGCAGAATCGCAAATGATTTAGCATACTTAACATTAGTGTGTTCAACTCCACTACACCGATGTTAAACTAAACTTTATTTAATCATTTGCCCTCGTTCCCAGGGTTTTGATGCTCGAGGTACTGTTATTGCTGCTCGACTTCGAAGCCTCACCAATATGTTTTATCACTCTGACGACTACCTCAGCCAGCAAGTTGTAAATCCTGGAGCACTAAGCGATAGCACTGTGGCAGGATCCCAAATTATCTGCTCCTACCCTGACCAACAGTCGACAGTTGAGAACTCTCAGGAACCGATCTGGTTCGCTGCTTCGCTGTGTACGTATGCCAAAATCTGTATCACAGTAAGCCTTTTGCGAGTAAAATTTGCATAGAATCTGGTACTCTTCAGTTCTTTAAATTCACGTGGACATAATTTGAATTCTCTAAACTAAAAACACACTGTTGCTATACCTTGCGATTCGGGGCAAGCTTTTCCTTAGTTGCATAAGAAACGCCTTGCAACAAAACACTTATCAATGGATAAGAAGCTTAGGGCACAAAGGAACCAGTCTATTCCAGAGATGGTGGTCACTATGCAAAAGCTTGCCCCGAATCACGAGGTACAGCAACAGCGTCTTGTTTATGTGCAATCTCGTAACTCAGTGTACCAGATTTTATTCAAAATTAAATCGCAAACGGCTTATTCCTGTCTGTGTTATCCACTCCCTGCTCAAAAAACCTGAATATTCATGATCTGTGATATAAATTTTATTTTGATCACCAACGTAATAATCCTAACTCCACACCTATCATTATCACAACTGTTGTGTTCAGTTCTTCGGCCGTAATTGTCAACACAACAGCAGTACACCAACTTTGTGTTTGTAATCAGTTGAGTCTTTAACAGCCGTTTCTATCTTTTCTTGATTTATGCAGGGGACTGGGATGAGAGCGTCGCCAAGGTGATATTTGAAGGAGTCGACGGACGAGACATGCTCTCTGCAGCAAGTCTTAAGTCAGTTTGCTTTGCAGAAACCAACCTCATCGCGTCTCATCCCATGTACCAGTCGAACTGCCTCTGCCATGATGCTGGACGGTGTTCAAGCACTTGGTCTCTTGGAAACTATGTCGCTTTACTCTCAAATAAAACCTCGTGCCAGGATATCACCGACAGTGACACCGAGAAAGTCTCGATGTTACTGAAACAGTGCGCGCCGTTCTTTTATAACCGTACTCGGTCAGATTTACAAAACTCCAACGACCTTTTGGCAATACCGACAGAGTGCGCCCAATACGACTACGCCCTCCACACTATGCTGTTTTTTCTTCTCCCGTCGGATTTCATCGAAAGCATCTTGAGGAACAAGTCGGCCACAGCAGCCGTGGCGGCCGTGTTCTTTCCTCTGCGGACATACGAGGAATCCACCCTCGAAGCCATCTACACAGACAACTTGCAGAGCTGCTCGTGTTCTGACGGCATCACAGAGCTCAAGGCAGTCGACTTCTCTCTCAAGTTCACCTTGTTTTCAAGTCTCCTCCTGGCCGACTCAATCTTCCTAGGCATTGGCATCACGGTGATATTTGTTCTCATCTGGATCTACACTGGTTCCCTAGTTGTCACCATATCAGCGCTACTCAACATCGTGTTCTCTCTCATGATGGCCTACTTTTTCTTCACTGTGGTGTTTGCTAGGCCCTTCTTCCCGTTCAGCAACGTCCTGGCCGCGGTCCTTATCATCGGCATAGGGGCAGACGATGCCTTCGTCTTCATTGATCTCTGGAAGAAATGCAAGTTGGAGACTGGAGGAGAGGATCTCGTGTCGCTCACCCGCGAAACATTGCGCCATGCTACGACCACGATGTTCGTGACAAGCTTTACCACAGCAGCTGCGCTGTACGCGAGCGTCATCTCAGATATCACGGCCGTCAAGTGCTTTGGGGTGTTCGCTGGCACGGCCATCTTGATGAATCTGGTCCTAACTATCACCCTGACTCCAGCAATCGTTGTTCTTGACCACAAACTAAAACGTCAGACCTGTCGAGGGACATCCAAGGGCACAGCGAAATCCAGTAACCATGCCGAGCGCTCCGAGGATGGCCATTCTTGTAGACAGCGACTGATCAAAATCCTGAGGGGTTTCTTTGGGAACACGCTACCGTCCTTCGTCCTGAGGCTCCGGTATATCTGGATCGTCGTCTTCTTCCTCCTCGGAGCAGGCGGAGCGGTGGTCGTGTTCTACCGGCCCGGCGTTCAACTACCAAGCGTTGCAGAAAATCAGTTTCTGATCCTCACCCATCGTTTTGAACAGTATGACTTTATCTATAAAGATCAGTTTGCCTTCTCGCAAAAGAACAGACCGTATGTTCCGGGTTACATTGTGTGGGGTATGGAAGCTGTTGATAATGGCAACATTTGGGATCCTGATGATTCCGGTACATTTAGTCCCCAAGAAGACTTCAAATTCTCTAGTCAATCTGATCAGGAGTGGCTCCTGGACTTCTGCCGAGATCTGAAGAATCAGACGTTCTTTAAATCGGATGGTCCCTTTGACTGTTTAGTCGAAACTATGAAATCACTCATGGAGCAACCGTGTGTGGTCGATCCCGTGACGGGCCAAGATGCATCGCCGTGCTGCAGACAATCTTCGTTTCCATACCCGTCCTCTACCTTTGATATTTGTTTGAGACGTTTCCATAGCGCCGGTTACGTCCCTAGTGTTAGATTCAGCAAGAACAATTCCTCCCTCGGTGTCATCACTGTTCCTTTCACAATGTCCTACAAGCAGACTTTGTCTTATGCCACAAACGAGGAACTTTGGACCCTGGCCAGCACCTGGGTGGATTCAAAAGTTGAGTCTGCACCATTGCATCTGCAACATGGCTGGTTCGTGCCATATACCACGGACATCGGCTTCTACGATCTCCAGAAAAGCTTGGCCTCGGGCACGGTGTTTTCCATGCTGGTCACCCTGGGCATAGGATCTGTAATCCTGCTTCTGTCCATTCAGAATATCATCTTGACTATAAACGCGGTGCTGACTATCACCAGCACAGTCTTTGTCACTGTCGCCATTTTGGTGCTACTCGGTTGGGAGTTGAATATTGTAGAGTCTACAGTGGTCACGCTCTCTGTGGGTTTATCGGTTGACTTCACCATCCACTATGGCGTCGCGTACAGACTTGCTCCGCACCAGGATCGCAAGAGTCGAAGCAAGTATTCCCTGGCCACCATGTCGGGTGCCATTTCCATAGCAGCGTTCTCTACTTTCATCGCTGGTGCCCTAGTCATGCCCGCCACGGTGTACGGCTACACGCAGTTCGGTATCTTCCTCATGATAGTGATGCTGATTAGTTGGACTCACAGCACTTTCTTCTTCCAGTCTCTTTGTTTTACTCTCGGCCCTCAGAGCACAGTCGGTAACATCCCCTGCTCCTCGTGCTGTGACTGCTTTGGGTACAACAACAAAACAGCGATTCCAGACCCTGAAAGTGTTAAACAAACTCACGAAGCTCTTGCAAAGTCGGCATCTCATTCCCAAAATGTCAGCACCATAAGCAGCGGTCGGTTTCAACCCATTTACTTTCCCGATCAGCATTCTTTCCTTCGACCGGATGCGAACCGTGGAGGCTTGGGAAGGAAATCCAGCATCTCCAGTGGTTACACACAGGTGGGGAGAGCGAGGCTTTCGCTAGCATCAAATCAACTCAGAAGTCCCTCGATTCACTCAGAAAACTACCCGTTAGTCCCGTACCCGCAGCGGTACTTGATAGACACTAATGATAATCGTATAAGCTCTCCTAGGGTACATTACAACCCAGTTTTTGATGTACGTTAGATGAATTTATCTTCATGGACAAAACTGTTCTCCATTAGTAAAGTATCTGTCTAAAACTTGGGTTTCAAACCCACATTGACTGCTGGCTTTACAAAGTTGCTATCAGTCTAGCTGATGTGCGTCCTTTATTTCCTGTCCTCCTTGTATTTAACTTTGTGATATTTGCTTAGCACCCAGTGTTGCTTGTTTGCCTTTTGTGGGTTTTTTTGTTGAGATAAATTCCATTTGCATTGGTATAATTTTCAAAATTTCTCTTGCACTTTTGAACAAGTCTGTAAATCTAAAAATTGATAACTTTTTGATTTCCTTTTAGAAACACTCTGTATTCGATGAAAAATATACTCGAAAAAATGCCAAATATTTATGCAGATTTTTGAAGTCTCATTTTACATTCTGACTCAATCGTGGAAGTAGTAAAACTTAGGAAAGAGATGTATACTATTCCCTTTATGTTCAGGAATAACATCATGTAGAGGACATCTTTATGACTGATATGCTTTCTTTGATTGATATGTATCCATCTTAATAAAGCGAATTAAATTCTGTTTTGCAATGGATTTTGTGTTTATTAATTTGGCTCTTATTTCTAGTGGGTCTGTCAGCTTTTGCCCCATTATTCCCGCGTATAGCTTTTTTGTTTATCTTGGAATTTACTGTAATGCTTTTTTGACATTTTTTGTTAAATTTCTTAGGAAAAAAAGAAGAAAACTATAGGACTTCCGTTTCCTTGTACTGTAGTCCTAGTCTGTCAATTGCGCTTGTTGACATTTGTACGCCAAAGCAGTGACGTATCAAGGTGTGGGTACATGTGTGGGGGAGGGCAGGATGATATGAGCTTTTATGCTGTACTGTGGTGAAAGGTGCAAGGTAGAAAAGGACAGCGGTTGGGCGGGACCGGGGCTGCTTGACACCATTATTTTGTCGGCGCTGTTTAGTGCCGTGACTTAGGTGGCGCTCTTCATATGTGACAGCTGTGGTGACGCTCCGTACGACACACAATACAGTAAAGGACAATGCGTAAAAGTGTTCTCTTGAAGGAGCAATTATGGGGGAGATATGGGGAAAGGAGACTTGCTACACAAGGCTGGACAAAAACTTGGCCATTATTGGGGAAAAGTGCACAAATTTTTTACGGAAATGGGGGAATGCCCTCTGTGTCAACTGAGAATAGAAAACAGGACTATAGTCAGCAATAACTCAAAAGAGAATGTAGAGCTGTCGGTTTGGACGCCAAAATTAATGTCTGTCCCGGTCACGTCTTTCAAATGTCCTGGTTGGCATGTTGATAATGCGCAGGATCCACACGTACGTGGACGGTAATTATAGTGATACTCAATTTGCGTCACGATCAGTCGTATTGGAGACAGAAAGCAAGCTCATGAAGTAACCGAAGGCCCCACGACAATAACAATCGAAGTTAATTGCCTTATCCGCTATTGGCAGAAGGCATTCTTGCGTGATCAGTATCGACTGGCGTACTACACGAGAATCGATAGGCCTGTACAAGCGTTTGATAATCGTGGCAAACTTCGGAGTGTCTGCAAATGTGACTCGCATCTAGCGCTTGTCACATCTTTACATTGGATTCAACTCGAACAAAAAACAGCTCTGAAACTCGATAACTATAAGGAACTACCGAAAACATTTATTCGCCTTTCGTCTTGAAAGTTCTTCAAGTTGTTTCAACAACAAACAGCAGTATGGATGAATCCATCGAAAAAGGAGACACGAATTCCGATTCGGGACAAAATGGAAGCAAAGGAACAACAGCAGCATTTAGTATCAGCGATTCGTAAGTATTCTGTGTACATCGCGTATTTTTAGTTTGTAGTTAGTAACAAAACTCGTTAATCTTTAATTAATAGTGTCGTTGTGTACCATATTACTGCAATTGGGACTAGAGTTTTGTTCTTGCTGTTGATAGTTCAAAGAACCCGGGCTGGGACCTATTCACAACCAGGTGCAGATCTACCCTTCAAAACCTCGTTTTTTCCCCCATCATTTCGAAACTTAGTATGCATATAGACATCCGTTAGGGGAATTCAGTCTAACAAAGAGTTCCGTTATTCTGGTCATTTAGTCGATAGTTTTGACCCACTCGATCACGATAAAAATAGGCACAATTCTTTCGGTAACATTGTGTCCATTTCATTTTGAAAAATGGCGTGAAAATGACGGCAGGGCATCGGTGGATGAACCCTCATAGGCTGTGCGAAATGCAAATCGTGAAGTAACCCTATCGAGCAAACACGAGGGACGTATCGTGCTCATGACCAACCCTAATGTCTTCTTATCCTTGTTTTAAAGGTATGCCAGGTTTCTGACAAACTTTTGGTACGTGATTTGCATCCTCGCTTTCGCCACTATGACTGAATGCGGAACGATAGTGTTCACTTTGTACAAGTTTCCCGATTTATCAGATCCCGAAAAGGTGAGAAATGTACTAGGTATATCCAAATAGAAATGTGTATTAATTTTGAATTCTTACTTCAAATGAACTGATTTTAACATTTTTTTAGCTTATAGTGGTAATTCTACAGTTCGATAAACGATACATTGTTGAAAACACAGTGTATAATTTTGTCAATCTTCGTCAAAATAACACTGGACACCCGCATAACCTCAAGGAAATAAAAGTTCATCTTGCATGTGTCCTTGTACCCAGGGTTTCGAGGCACGAGGCACCGTAATTTCTGCACGTCTTCGGAGTTTTGGTAACATGCTGTATCGCTCTGATGACTACTTAGTTCAGCAGGCTATCCCTCCAGCGTTCAGTGGAGAGACCAGCTTCGATTCCCACCTGAGCTGCCTTCCTGAAGCGGCATCTCGAGCTGATCAATACCAGCCAACAATTTGGTTCAGTGCGTCACTATGTAGGTGGCATAATTAAACTCACTATAGATAGTCATAATAAATCATCGCCACCATCACATCCTCACCATAATCACTACCATTATTACACTCACCATCATCATAACCAAATCACAATCATCACCATTATCATGACTTGATCCATCTTCTCGTCATTATCAAAATAAAATAGTTAATCACCATTATTATCACTATAATCATTACACTCACCACCACCACCACCACTATAAACACCAAATCACTTTCACCAAAGTATAACCATTACCATTACTACATCAAACATCTCACCATTATCAAAATCAGTATTGACATAAGCACCTTTACTATAATCATGATCACCACCAATAACTCAACAGAATGATCTCCATTTACCATCATCATCTTCACCAACATAAATCACCAAATGTAACCTGCATTAAGATGTTATTGCCACCACATTCAGGTTTCTGACCCAAAAAATTACTTTATCCTATATTCTTTCTATTCGTAGGGGATTGGGACAAACGAGTTGCCAAGGTGATATTTGAAGGAGTTGATGGACGAGACATGCTTTCCGCATCAAGTCTGAAGTCAGTATGCTCTGCAGAAACCAACCTCATTTCGTCTCATCCCATGTACCAGTCGAACTGCCTCTGCCATGATGCTGGACGGTGCTCAAGCACTTGGTCTCTTGGAAACTATGTTGCCTTACTGTCCAATAAGACCTCGTGCCAAGATATCACCGACAGCGACGTGGAACAAGTGATCATGTTATTGGAGCAGTGTGTATCAATCTTCCATAATCGCACTCGCTCGGAGGTCGAAGATTCGCGTGACTTTCACACCATGCCTGCGGAATGCGCCCAACACGACTTCGCCCTCCACACCATGCTGTTCTTTCTCCTGCCCTCGAATTTCAGCGAGAGCATCTTAAAAAACGAATCGGCCACAGCAGATGTGGCGGCTGTGTTTTTTCCGGTGAACACATCCGAACGGTCCGCCCTAGAGGCGATTTACCGTGACAACCTGCAGGGCTGCTCCTGCTCCGACGGTATCACCAAACTCAAAGCGGTGGACTTTTCCCTCAAGTACAGTTCATTCTCCAGCCTTCTCCTGGCAGATTCACTCTACCTGGGTATCGGCGTGTTGGGGATATTCATCCTTATATGGACTTACACTGGTTCCTTCATAGTAACTTTAGCGTCGTTGTTCAATATTGCTTACTCTCTCGTGATGGCGTACTTTTTGTACACCGTCGTATTCGCCAGGCCGATCTTTACGTTTAATAACACCATAGCAACAATCCTTGTCATCGGTATCGGGGCAGACGATGCCTTCGTGTTCATGGACCTGTGGAAGAAAAGCGTCTCGGAGATAGGTGAGAACGACTTGGTGGCGTTGACTCGGGAGACACTACGACACGCTGCGACGACAATGTGCGTCACGAGCTTCACCACTACGGCGGCGCTGTACGCCTGCATCATTTCGGATATCACCGCCATCAAGTGTTTCGGCGTGTTTGCTGGCACAGCGATCTTGATGAATTTGTTCCTAACCCTGTCCATCACGCCGGCGTTCGTCATCGTCAGCCACAAGCTGACGAACTGTACCTGTCGCCCGAAAGGCAAAGATGACAAAGAAGTTGCTACAAGCCACTACACTTCGAACTGTGTCACCCATCGACAGCGACTACTCGAGTTTCTGAGATGGTTCTTTGAAGGAACCCTACCCTCCGTCGTCTTCAGGCTGAGGTATGTCTGGATCGTCATTTACCTCCTGTTTGTCGCAGGGGGCGCTGTTGTGATATTTTACAATCCTGGTCTAAAGCTACCGAGTGTCGAAGAGAACCAGCTTCTCATCCGATCTCACCATTTCGAGCAGTACGACTTCACTTACAAAGGAAAGTTTTCCTTTTCCAGGGAGAACAAACTTAATGTTCTTGGATTCCTTGTGTGGGGTGTGGAGGCAGTTGACAACGGTAACTTATGGGATCCCGATGATTGGGGAACATTTAATCCCCATGAGGCCTTCAGATTCTCCAGTCCATCTGATCAGGAGTGGTTGCTGGACTTTTGCAAAGATTTGAAGAATCAGACCTTCTTCAAACCCGATGGTCTTTACCTCTGTTTCATCGAGACCATGAAGCTTGTCATGGGCTGGAAGTGCCTTGTCCACCCTATCACTGGTCAGGATGCTTCGCCATGCTGCGGCCAAACGTTCCCCTTCCCCGAATCAGTCTTCAATATTTGCCTGAGTCGCTTCCACGACGCGGGTTACATCCCTACGATAAGGTACAGAATAAACAGCTCTGAGCTCGCTGTTCTCACTGTGCCGTTCACGATGCCCTACAAGGAGAGCTTGTCCTACGCCGTCAACGATGAACTCTGGACATTGGCCAACACCTGGATGGAATCAAGAATGAAATCTGCGCCGTTGCATCTCCAGCACGGATGGTTTGTACCAGCTACAACAGACATAGGCTTCTACGACCTCCAAAAGAGTCTGGCTTCGGGCACGGTGTTTTCCATACTGCTGACTTTAGGTCTGGGATCCTTAATTCTGATCTTTACCATTCAGAACGTAATACTTGCGATCAGTGCTACGATAACCATAGCAAGTACTGTTATTGTTACGACGGCTGTTTTGGTTTTAATTGGCTGGGAGTTAAACATTGTGGAATCCATTGTAATTACGCTGTCAGTGGGTTTGTCTGTAGATTTTACCATCCATTATGGCGTTACGTATAGGCTGGCGCCGTATCATGACCGTAAGAGCAGAACTCGTTATTCTCTGTCCACCATATCTGGCGCTATTTCCCTTGCGGCTCTGTCCACCTTTTTGGCGGGAGCTTTCATGATGCCCGCCACGGTGTACGGTTACGTACAATTCGGCATCTTTCTCATGATCGTCATGGTCGTCAGTTGGACTTACAGTACGTTGTTCTTCCAATCGCTTGGCTTCGTCATTGGTCCCCAGTATACAACTGGTAACCTGCCCTGTTCTTCGCTGTGTGGCTGCTTTGGTTATAATGATAACAGAAAAGATGCCCCCAATACGGAAAACCCGGAACCAGGCATCGAAGACTTTGCAACATGCGATGATCCATTATCAGAAAATGATAGTATGATTACTAATAGACGTTGTTTAGAAATGTATGGTCTCACTGGCAACCAGTCAACACTAGAGGGAGTGTACTATGGGGAAACTGAAACGACTAAATTCATCGACCAAGGCAGATACATGCTAAAACAGCGCCATTCGGAATTTCTTACACCGATACCTGAATCAATAGTGTCTTCCAGGGAGTATGAAGTTTGTTCATCGAATAAACTCCCAACCAAAGCAAATATTTACGAAGTTCACGAACAATCTACAAAGAGTACAGAATGTGTTTCGGGTGGAAACACGGCGGAGAGGGACACTCCATCATCGAAGAAACCTGCGGAATCATTGGAGAATGATTCTGTCGACTATCAAGTCTCACACTCGGAAAATGTACAACCCCATTCTCGTCTAAATGCCCACCATTCAAACCGTCTAAAGACAACAGAAACTCTTGTCAAAGTCCATGAACAATCGACAAAAGAGGTGCGTTTTCTATGTGAAAGCGAATCACAAATTTCGAAATTATCTTTTGACGAGTCCCCTGTCGATCATCCCGATCTAGAGACAAATAACACCCCACCAGAACTCCACCACCATCAAACCGAGAATCTCGAAGAAACAAGAAAACCTCAAGAAGATGATACAGTTTCATCTTAAAAGTCATCGCATTCTACGGGTCTTGAATCAACCCTTGAATTCCTTTCTACAGTCGGAATTCTAGGCGTCCGCATCAGACCAAAGCCCATCACCGGAAAACACTCCCGACGTTAAAGGCAATTGCGTACTTTATGATCCGGTTCATGACATCCGTTTTTGATGTTGGCTTTCACCTCTGGCTGCCAACATATTCCAACAACTGGAGAGTACTGTCATGAAATATTCCTCCCCAAATAATGTTCTCAGCTAAAAATCGGGATAACCGGTCTCTAAACTGCTTCACATATCGTCTTCGCTTGTGTTTCCCCCAGTTAAAAGGTTTTGTTCAAAGAATATTGTTCATCCAACGATTGCATGAAGTTGGTTGAAGGTGTATATTTATAAGTAACATTTATAAGTAAACAATAATGCCAATTTCCAATGTGAAAACCACAATACCCTATAGAAACAGTATAGTTGGTAAGCACCTGTTAGAGTTAAAACAGTAGATAGCATTTTTATCACTGATGAAGTCTTCGAACTTTTAAAATAATATTCATTTTATTTTGCTCACTTGAGCGAATCAAATTTGTGGATAAAGTGTTTAGCCGTCCAAAAAGCCATGTATGAAACTGGTCGGTTTGGGACTCCTGAGGGCAGGCTGCCTACCGACAGGGGACATTCGTACAAATAACGATTGTTACATCTGTTGTGGTAATTATCTGAGAAATTTGGTTGATACTCATAAATGAAGAAAAGCATACTGACAAAAATCATCCCACGTCTCCCTGTTTAAATTTTAGACAACCTATTCTGCATTCTTTCATTCTGTTGAAACTTCAATTTCACGTAGGCTTAAGTGGACTCAGAAGATAAAACGTTATTGGAAAAGATGTGTTTCAGTTAAAGGGTTGACTGTATCAAAATTATGGATCAGTTGTGAGCTTTAACATTTCAAAGTGTTTCGCCGACCCGTTCAATGTCGTGTTGAATGACATCTTCGTGGGGTCCCGCCATTTGGCATTGAAAATAACATTGCAACGCAAGGGGTTGTAGAGAAACAGTGGATAGGTGCATATCTTTGGTTATAAATGGGTTTGTGTTTGCTACTGTGCACAAAATACTGCAGACGACGACCAGACCTACATATGCAGACGACAGCGAAAAGGCGCCCTCATGTGTTTGCGTGCGCAACAGCGAAAAGAACAGGTACCCGACGGTACGTTTTCACATACACTGCGTTCAAGGTGTTCAGGGAATGGTTACCGGCGATTAGCGAAATTCCATCAGACATGGCGGACGAAGCTGTTGCCAAGGCAGGATTGCACTTCGATGAGTTGAATAAAATCAGGGTATTGGAACCTGAAATTCACCAGCAGACATCAGAATTGAAAGAAGAGTGTCAGGAGTTTGTAGAAAGTGAGTATTGCAAACTTGAGGAGTCAAAACCCTGCTCATTGTTCCGCTATAATTAAAACCTCATGCATGGATGACAACGCATAGGCCTAGCCCACCATGCCCACATAGTACGTGCCACTGGTCACGTTGATCGCTAACCATACTAACGCTGGTTCATCAGGATCTCTAGGCCGATTGCATTATCCATGGCATTGCTTTGGTCAGGCCACGAAAATTACTTAAAGATTTGAGTTTTCAGCTTAGGCCTACCAAGGCCTACTTAAGCCTACATGTACATGTAGTTGCTACCACATAGCAGCAACATAGCACATTTATCAGTAAGCTGATCTTATGAATCTTAATTATGATGAATCTTGCAGTCGGCAAGACGTCACTATGTAGTCTGAGGACTTTAAACACACAGCAAAAGGGCAAATTTACCCTTCGTGCTATTCAATAATGTACATAAGTTCCTGGACGTCCGACCGCGAGAATGAGGGCAAGATTGATTTGATATTTGAGGGAAATTGGTCTGTTGGCCTATGGGGTAGCGTGGACATCTGGGAGTTTCACAAAAAATACGGGTAGCAATCACACCGGGCCGGTGAAAACAACTGCAATAAGCGCACGCATACGTACAGATAAAATAATAAAGATTTCACCCGATCCTCGGTCTGGCTGGTGCGTGCTTACGTCGCTAAGATTGCTGTTTTCACCGGCGCAGTACCTGTCATTTTGTGAGAATCCTGGATGTCCACACCGCCCCATAGAGTGGTGATCAAAGCACACACCGAGATTTAAAACTTGAAGAACGAGCACCTGGATATTGCCTAAAAATTGCCCCCAAATTACAGCCTTTATGATGACACACCTTTCTCTTTTCATTTTAAAACTTTACAGAAATTGGCAGCTTTCAGACAATAGTTGAAGGGTTGATTAAGATGGTGGATTCACTGGCAAAAGAAGTTGAGAAAGAAAAAATGAAGGTTTGTTGACTTTATAATCTAAATACATGTAATGTCTGAATTGTTTAATTAAGCAAGTCTTTTTCTGTAGACTGTAAAGTTCAATCTTGATTAAACCATCAATTAAAGACGAAACATTTCCGTTCTCACTTTGTCTACTTGACATTCTTTGCATAGGAAATGCATGCCCTTGTTAGATAATTTCTTCAGTATGTTTGATGTATGTTCTAATTGCACCAAATCAAATCCAATCTGACGTATTTATTCTTTCATAAATGGAAATAAATGGAAATGGCCTGCTTAAAAACTTTCGACAGTTTGGATGGCGTGTTTCATTCTCTGTTTTTTTGTGTAAACATGCAGTGCCATGTTATAAGTGAAGCAAAAGATTGAAAATGACACTTTGCTCAGGCTCTAGATTTTTTTCTGAAGAATCTGCCAATTAAATTCAGCTGAGTAGTTATGACTGTTTTATTCTTTTCCTCAGGCCATTGGATCTCGTAACTTGTTGAAGTCCATTGCCAAGCAGAGAGAAGCCCAACAACAGCAGTTGCAGGCTTTGATAGCAGAGAAGAAGACACAACTCGAAAGGTAAGAGATAGGGATGAGTCAATTCAAGTTATTCACTATTCGAATAGTTGACCTTCAATTCGATCGAAAATCCGAGTACATGTATTCAGTCAAACCGACCGGCAGATTGCTGACAAACAAAACATATACAAAATTAGTTGCAATAACGCACACAATGATACATTATGACCACCATAATAGCTTCTCACGTCTGAGAGTATCTCCAGCCACGATTTAGCAAGATTTAAGAGACTAACAATACTTTTTGCAGTGTTGAAATTTTTTATTCCTTTTAAATTTTTTAATGAATAATTTACTTTTCGAATCATAGGATTTCTGTCACTTTTCATTTGAATCTCCCTTCCTTTTCCTGAATTTTGCATTCGAATATTCAAATTTGGGAAATAATATTCGATAATCAATCAAATATTTGGATATTCGGCACAGCGCTAGTATTAAGAGAGAGACAGGAAGTTTTCCCTGCTTTGAAATGTTCACTGTCTTTGATTTGGAATGCTGCTTCCTGGAAACCAGATTGTATTGAATAAGAATGGACTTTTTCGATGTTGAGTTCCAACTGGGTCAACCCATTCCTGATTGGGTTCACGTGCAAGGCTTCCCATGTGAGAACACTTGCCATTCCCAAAACAGTCCAGCACTGTTTCCAACTTAATCGGACCATTCCTGAACAGATTACATTGAGGAGATCCCATACGAGGAGCGATTGCCAGTCCTAAGCTGTCCAACGTGTGTTCTCAACTTGAGGGGATCATTCTTGAATACCGCACAAGTGCACATGCCCATTTGAGAGCAGACTGGACTCCTTGATGGGCGCTCAACTTTCAGTACAGTGTTCTCAATTTGTCCTACCCCCCCCTTTACATTACAGATATCGGATACAAACCGCCGCACTGCAGAAGGAAGAAACAGAGCAAAATGAATTCATTGAGCAATTTATCTTGCAAAAATGAACAGTCGCCGATATTCAGTCCTCAGCCTTCTTTTGCCATGAAGCTTCTTGATTGTCTCCAAAAATACAGTACAGTGGTCGTGAAACCGAAGGTACATTTTCATTACCAGTGGGAGAAATTTGGGGGATTGGGTCCATTATTGGTTCTAAGCCACCAAAGTATTGCCAAACTCAGAGCTTAAATCATCAGAGGGTCCTGGGTGTGAGGCATCAGTGGACATGACCCCAGAACTAAATGTTTATGGGGGAACATATCGAGCGAAAGGCAAGTTTGCCAGACTGTTTTATTTCCCTTCCTCCACAAAGAGTGTAAGCCCCCCTCCACGAAAAATAGCTTCAACCCCTAGAATGGAGTGTTTCCTGTCAATATTATTTAGAGACCGGTGGCTAGCTACGGTTTAACGGGTGTGATTAGCCATGTCAATTTGGATGCGGAATATTTAAACTTTTGCCAGGCCAATAGTAATGCTTTAACATGAAATATGTTTCAGCAGGGAGGCGAATAAAACACGAGTACCTGTCCTTGCTAAACCTCTGTTCATCACAATGTGGTAATTAATTTTTCAATGATAATCATCGATAAATCGTTTGACGGCAATTTATTTCAGTCAGTGGTTATTGTGTGTCATTTTAGATAACTGAACAATTTATGGTGAAATTATTTTCGGCAGCGAAGAAGAAAAAGCAAATATGCTATCAGCTCCCGCTGGATTTGTGCATTGAGCGGGCATCCCTTTTCTCATTTACATACACCCGGCAGGATTCTGCCGGATTCATTACCCCCTACTGGTCCCTACGTTCAGAGGACGTCTGTAACTGACGTCTGGAGACTAGGCACGGACGGGAACCAGTGTACCTTTAGAAAGGCCAAGAAAGGTTACTTAATGATATTCCTAAGTTATTTACAGAAAAAATTTGGACTCGCCCATTTCAGGTGATAAAGCAGTACTATACCGTCTACTTACAGAAGATTGTGTGGGGTGTTCTTGGTTTTTGAGTTCCCTGACATTGCCAATAATTTGTTATATATAAGATCAATAAGATCATATACATGATCATATAAGATAAGACCAGGCCGGACAAAATGAGTCTTTAGTCGCCGGAGCCACTTTTGAGTTGAAGGCCCTTCAAAGAGTTTTCCACGGCGGAGATCAGTAGGAATCCTTGGCATTTTTCACCCACCTAATGTTTCTTATGATGACTAAAGCAAAGTTATTGGAGGAACAGTGGCTTCAAGACCCATTTAGTGAAATCCGGTCGCATATCTGCCACTGTAGGCAAACTTAAGAAGTTATTTTTGTTCATCATTTAGAGGGATGTATCTCCAAAGTGACTTCTGTTAAATTGGAAAATATGAAAATGCAAATATGGATACTGTTCAAGTCCGAATGCTTGACGTCTGTGAGGAATGATTCGTCGTCCTTAATTCTCACCTGCCCCCTGCCGAGAGCATTCCTTGGAAATTTCTTGTTTGAGATTGATACTCAGTAAATTTTCAAATATCTGGGTCAAAGGAATCCAACCATCCAGAGAGAAGTGATAACAGAAAAACTCCATTGACGTGTCCATTAATGCATACACGTCTCTCCAGCCGTAACTCGACGCTATCAAAATACATGTGTCTGTATAGAGTACCGAAGTGAATACGTCACGCGCACAATTCGTGTGTAAAAGGCATTAGCGCGGGAACGAACGCGCGCGCGTACTCCATTCGTTTGCACTGCACTTTCTGGTTCACAGTGACGTCACACTTCGGTACTCTATGAGTCGGTGCTGTCAACGTCGTAGCGGAGCTTCAAGTTAGCAAGAGAGCTAACTGATTTGGCCGGCCGCTGGCGGCACGGCAGCACGGCTCGGTCGGATGCGAACACTGCAGCACGGTAGCCAGGGTCTCGATTCCCTGCTTGAAGACTCTCTGAAAGACAGGCACAACTGCGGTCATTTAATATATGCCAAACGATACCAGAATTCCAATAAGTGTAAAGCTCTTCTTGTTTTGGGAGCGTCAAAATTTGACCCTCGAAATTCGTTCACTCGGTAAAAAAAACTTCACTTTGGAGTGCATATTTTGGTGAACAGCTATATCCTACTTTAGGATGATATTTCAGTATTAAAGTTTTGTGGGAATCGTGAGCGTGCGCCACATACTTCGCCACTGACTGCAGTGGACCGTTGCGAGTCGACGGGACTAAGAATTGTTGTCTGAGATTTTCTCTCGTGATTGCCCGGGGAGAACATTCTCCATCCGCAGACAAAGCACTCTTCCTGTTATGCCAGGTAAACAAACTTGGCCTTTTTTCAAGCCACCAAACGGCGGATTTTACCTCACTTCAGAATGTGGCGTTGATTGTTTCCTGTCAATCACGCATAAAACCCACACAAACACCGAGACGGTGTGAACGACTCGAAAATACAAGTCACGCTGTCCCACGAAGACACTTTAATCCCTAGTCAGACCTCCCCAGTCGTATTTACTTTCTTTATTATTCTACCAACCCTAAAAGGAAGAAAAACTCAACCAACAAAGCTAAGTTCCATTTACAGGATCATTAGCCTGTACTCGGCCTTGTCTGAATCTCTTCTACCAATCAGAGCTTGCAACCTTGAATTCTTTTCCACCAATCACAAACACACACATACCCGAACCAAAGCAAAAGTGCAATTCGATATGGAAATAAATTATCGCGTCATTCACTCAAAACAGTTGAGAAACGATCCGGGATTCCCCTCTTCTTTAAATTCTTTTGTACAATCTCGACAAACCACCACCACCAAAGGAAACAGATCATCCATCATCCATTGAAAAGAAAGTACATATGTGCATACAATACGAAGAAATAATGTTGCGCAGCCACCCAAATATTTGAGGAACACCTCGCTTCAGAGGATTGTGAAAAACATGTACAAAACAATAATGAATGCACTGATGAAAATGCAATGTCGCGCAGTCATCCAAGACGTACATTGAAGAAAAAACATCCCTGGTGTTTATTTTTCTCATTTCCGTTTAGCGCTCCCTGCCCGACAAATTGCCAAAACATTTGGGGGGAAAAAAGTTCATCTTTTTGTGGGTGATGCCGTTTGAAAATGGGCTCTTACCGCAGGCTTCACAAAATGGGGGGAGACAAACAAGTGAACAAATAGGAAAGAAAAATGAGAAAAGAAAAAATGGGGCAAATCATACAGAAAGGAGGAACAGTGACGAAAATCGTTTTGCTGGAATACACCTTGGAATTGACCCCTACCACCATTGATGGTTGGTCAATTTGCTGCTGCGAGTGCTTTTTCCCTTGAAAAAACTTGACTCCCTTCTTGGCGCGGCAAGAAAGGACATAAAAAGTCCACCTTTCAGCTTACATTTGTTACCAGTTACAATTTTTTCAGAGTAGTTCCATTTCAAACTTGTAGTGCCCTGAGGATTTTTTTTGGGTACATTCTGCTGTGACTTAGCAAGTCCTAGGAAGTGTGTTGTGTGCACGCATGCAGGGGACCTCTGTACCGATTTCACTGTCGCCCCCCAAATAAGCCTTTTGCGAGTTAAATTTTAATAATTAATCTGGTACACGGAGTTCTTTAAATTCACGTGAACATAACAATTTGGATTCTTCATACTAGACCCATTGTTGCTATACCTCGTGATTCGGGGCAAGTCTTGTCACTGAGCTTGTCGATCTTAAACATCAAATTGTGGGGGCTGGAACGCTCCAGGTTCAGTTGAATCCAGGTCGTGGCAGCGTGGGACTTTGTAAATTCAACTATGTAGCCACAAAATGGCAGCCAGTTCGCACCCCGGATATCAAAAAGTTTCAAACACAATGTTGAACTGCACCTTCTCAAAAAACAAACAGACAAACACGAGACCTAGTATCTGTAATCAACAAAGGTGTCCATTTTAGTTTTTTAGCTTATTACACGCACATGTGTAAGGCAACAAAATCATCCTCATTTAACATTTTCTTTGGCAGTTACGTATATTTCATTGTTTATCCCTTAGACTTACCAGTTTTACAAATGGAGAAAACCCCAGTCCAAATATTACAGAAGATTCAGTAAAGCCTCATGAACACAATTCATAATATAATGTTAAGGCTATTTGTAAATTATAAGAGAGGTTAGAGTGAAAGTCCTGTGTGTAATGGAATAATAGTTGAATGATTGAGTTGCAGTTAGGTTTGAATAGTTGATGAAGCCATACTCCATTTCTAATCTGTTTGCATTCCGTTCAGATATCAATAAATCTGATAATCATTACCAATATGACTGCCTGCTCAGTGTCAGTAAAGGGTAACTTTGCTTATGAAACTCTTTTCTTTAGCCACGTACAAACGCAGCGACGATTTGTCCAATTAACGTATACAGTAGTGTAAATACCCAATTGTTAGTCGACTGTCGTTGACGAGGGGCTTGAGACTTTCGAAACTGTCGCGTGTTATCTGGAACTTCGTCTTAAACGAAAACAACTTTCCTACTCTTAATGCGTCCTTGATCGATCCTACCGGTTATTTAGCAAATTTATGCAAAATGTGCTTGTTGAAATGGTGTGAAATTTGGTTTTAAAACAGTTCAATCATGTTTTTTTTTACAAACCCGAGGTGTAAAATATACGAGGAATAAAGACTTGTGTTAATAAAGTTAATAAAGCTTATACGATTGTTGAAGACAGAGCAAACAAAACACAACAAAGGTGAAGCTGACTGGTCGTGATCGATCTCGAGAGAATATGCGCTTACTTCAACTCTATGACTTTCACGTTGTATAACGTTCACACTGTACTTGGTGACCAACTACTAAGTTACGTTTTTATACGTGAACAAAGTGGAGGAAACCAGTGATTTCAGAATATGGCGTTGAATGTTTCCCGCCAGTCCCTTGCACAAAAGCCACACACAACACAGGAACAATATGGACAGCACGAAAACACAATGTCACGCTGTCCCACGAAGACACTTCACAGAATCCCTGGTAGGATCTCCCTACCCGTATTTATTTTTACCTACCAAAAAAGAAGAAAAAACCAACCCCAAAACCAAAGTTCCGTTTACAAGATCATTGGTCTGTACTCAGCCTTGTCTGAATCTGTTCCACCAATCAGAGCTTGCAACCTTGAATTCTTCTCCACCAATCACAGAAACACACGCACACCCAAACTAAACCAAAAGTGCAATTCGATATGGAAATAAATTATCGTGTCATTCACTCAAAACAGTTGAGAAACACTCCGGGATTCCCCACGTCTTTAAATTCTTTTATACAATCTTCTTTACCAACCAACACTAAAAGAAAAAAACATCCATTAACCGTTGAAAAGAAAGTACATGCACGTAACATGGAGATACAATGCTGCACAGTCACCCAAAACGTTCGAGGAACACTAAGAGGAATTTCCTGCAAACCTTTAAAACAAGGACAATACAAAAAATGTGTTTGCTCATGAAAATACAATGTCGCGCAGTCGTGCAAGACATAACCCCCCCCCCATTTTGCGCGTCCTGTCTGACAAATTGCCAAGAGTGTTGGAAAAAAAACTTTTTCAAAAATAGGGTTTGTAACGTGGGCGTTGCGCGTGAGAGGGAGAGATAAGTGGGCGCTTTCCCTCTCCTGGATGGACAAAAATGGACAAATAAAACCAGGAAAGGGAGAAAGGAAAAAGGGGTCGAAATGATGCAGAAAGTAGACACAGGGATGAAACTCGCCACTTTGATGAAAAACATCCACCTTTAATGAGTTGTCAGTTGGCTGCAGATAAATGCCTTATACCCTTGAAAAGCTTGAGTACCCCTTTCTTGGCGATACCGTTCCCACTAAAAAGTCCAACTTTTAGCTGAAATGTATCACCATTTTCAAATAATTCTATTTCAAAATTGTGGTGTTCTGAGGAATTTTATGGGGAGTACTGCCGTGACGTCACAAGTTCTAAGAAGAATTTTGTAAATGCATTCAGTAACCAGTCTTTACTGATTACATTGGAAGTTGTTTGAGTCTGTGCTTGCCAGTGGTGTTGAGTGGACCAGTGTCCGATAATCGTCAAAAATCGCGAAGTTGTGCACTTACTGTGTAATACCAATCGCATGCACATTTAGACTTCCAACGCGTACGCGTCAATACGAACGCATAATGTGTGTTCAGTGCGTTGAAGTCCTCAGTCTCACACAGGAAATATTTGGGCTTGAAATAACTTTGGGCGTGTCACCGCTGGTTCAGTTGGATCCAGGTCGTGGCAGTATGGAACTTTGTAAATTCAGCTGAATTTACCTGATCAGGTAGCCACGAAAATGGTCGCCAGTTCGCAACCCCCAAATCAAACATTTTGAAACACAATGTGAAGAGCAGGTTTTTATCCTACACTAGGATTGTAGCTCTAACTTCGTACACGCACACAGTAATTGGACGGTGACGAAGTCATCTTCATTCAACAGCTTTTGCCGTTTATTTCGTTGTTAATCCCTTGGACTGACTTGTTTTACAAATGGAGAGAACCCTAGTCCAATTATCACAGAAGATCCAGCGCAGCCTCATGGATACCTGTTTACATTATTTCAACTTGTTACGTTAAGTTACTGAATCAAAAGTCACACACAAATGCACTCTCCACCAAGCAAAAATGACCCATAAATGAATGGACAACATTTTAAACAACCAATCACAAAGTGAACACCCGTTTTGTCAAAATAATGTGCATGAGTGGTTTCTGTATAGGGATGCCATCCTTACTGACTATGCATACACATTATTGAAAAGTAATGATTGTGACTTCTTTATTTCATCCTGTGACATTAATTTCTGCGTACAACTTACGGCTCATTCTGTTACATTCTGTGACTTTCGATTCAGTAACCAAGTTGCTGTGCAAGTCAATTTATTCTTGTTTTAAAGATAATCACTTGCTTTGGGGCTATTGCAGCTTACCTGTGTACAGAAATTGTTTATTTCTATTGTGTGAATTTTTATGTGTGGCCTTTGACAGAAGTGGGAAGTTTCTTTCGCTGTCCAGTATATGTATGTATAAAACGATAAGAATGTAAGCAGTGCGAACTTGTACAAATGGAATAAGAAATAGGAGGATTAAATGGTTGTTATAAGTTTGAAATACATGCAACCGATGTAGCACTGCTCCTTCTGGACTCCCGTCGTATATGATATCAATACATCTGATGTCCGTTACCATGGAGACAACCTGCCTGGTTTCCGTGAAGGATAAATGACACTCTGTCATCGGCTGTTTACAAACGTAGCGTTGATCTGTTCAAAATAACCTACACTTTGTACATGATTGAGTGTATGGCAGAAATGCATTTTCTGAAGGTTTGATGATACAGTTGGTTTCTGTTTTCATGCAGTTAATTTTCTTGATGAAGTTCGTGAAATGCTTCAAAATGCCCACACCAAAACTGTCTGAAAAGTGTCTTGTGTGCCGCATGGAAACGACGTCACCCGGCCACCAAATACTGGGACTCTGCTTAATTGCAATGGAAGCACAGATGAACTTGCTCAAAGGAAGCCGCCTTTCCGTTTGCGCGTCAACACTTGCCAAGCGTTGCGGAGCCGTTAAAATCGTTCCCAGGGCGAACGCAACGAACATGTGTGTTTTTATAATGGAGTCGATTTTTGCATCCGTGAAAGTGAAACGCATGAACGGTTTGTGTACGCAACGCACCCCGAAAAACCATGTATTTAGGGTGTATTCGCGCGATTACTCCTGTTAACACGAGTAGGATGCGTGCACATTACACTCAGGAGTACACTCCCCGCTATCGAGAGTTTCTGTGATGTGCCCACAGACATATGAACGCATAGACCGCCGGTGACTTTGAAAAGTATGGGCAAACAGTGAGCGAAGCGACGGATGGCAGCGCGTTCATTGAGCAGTACGCGCAACGCACTTACATTGCCTGTATTGGTTGCCTTCGATTAGCTTCCCTGAATACACCGGTGTTACGGGAAGCCACGAAATGAGGCTAATCGAACGCTCTGTGTAAGTTTGACTGTGCTCCCAAAATACGTTCCCTTTTTGCTCTTCTGTACCGCTATCTCTTCTTTTCGAATGTTTCAGCCGCATTGTTTCGAATCCCTAAGGGCCAGATTAAGTAAATAGAGATTTTTTTTTAGAATCACAAAATGGCCTCGTAGAATTTTATGGCTGGAAATCATCAACTGTGCGTAAATTCCGTATACTGAGGGGTGTATTTGCCCGTAGTTTAGACTTTAGCCGGGCGCCGCCGAGATCACGAAAACCCCCTGTAGTTTTGAATAAGACCTGGCGGTCTATGCTCCGAGCTGAAGTGCACCCCCAGTCGGCGAAAGAAAGACAGATGGTTACAAGCGGGTCCTTGCAAGCGTTCTGCGTGTACGCAAAACCGTACATGCCGGAGTAAACTAGTTGCGCGCACCCAGCGTACTCCGCGTCAAACGTGCATATACTTGCGCGCCCCTCATGACGCGTCTATGCGGTGAGTACACAGACATTATAAACGCATAGGGTTGCACTACACCAAATACGCGCCCATAGAAAACAGTGCAAAATCGGACCGAAATAGCGCCGCCTGCTGACTCTCGTGAAGAGGTTGGCCTCCGTTTTTTTACTGGCAATTCAAGATTATGGCCAGACGATCAATATTCGTTTCAATTTCATGGGGTTAGCCTTTCTTTTTTTATTCGCCTTTCAAGGAAGATACCCCCAAAACAGCAGTAAAACTAAGCTCTCATTTCTGAATGTAGCCGCCCGCTTCTGTCCAAAGTAGGCCTGCAATTTGGGGCTATTTGTGACAGAAATACCCCGAACTGGAAACAATCAGTTCCAAATTCGGGGATTTATAGAAATAGTTCTATGATGCCTCCTGATTATGGCATGTCTTATTGTGAAAACCTCGTGGGATCACAAAATATTTATGAGCTTGCGCGCAGGAATCCAACCATTTGGTGGAATGCTCCTTTTAATATCACCCGGGGGGGCGCCGGGTTTCGCAGTAAAAATGGATTAAAGCAACGAAAATCTATCCGAAATATAAAAACCAATCTGAAAAACTGAATACGTTTCCTTGTTTTTCTGAAGAAGGATAATACAGTTTTTCTGTTGCCACTGAATGTGGCAATGTTTTGTGCGCAATGACAATCTTGAACAAACGGAGAAATCAAACATCTTCTGCAAAACTGCGGGACACAGAAAAGAAAAACTACCAGAAAGAGGACGGAATTGTTGATTGAACCTTTGTAATTTCTGTTTCCCCTGCGTCCGGGGGCAGTTTTTTGGGGGAAGAAAAAACTGGGGGAATTTCAGGCCCTCTTCCAGTTACTATCGGACAGTATAGTCAATAAGCCCCTCCGAAAAAGAAAAAAAGAACAGGGCGCCCCCTTTTGGTCTGTTGCCATGGCCGCCGCCATCTTGTCTTTACAGGCTGCACCACACCAAATACGGGTGCACCACTACAAATAAATCCCCATACTTCAAAAATATTTTTAAAATACTCACAACTCTCACAGGTGTTCAGGCTGCACAGAAAAATGATGTTCCACATGTCCTCTTTCATTTGCCTTTCAATTTTTTAGTGGGTTGACCAATGAGTTTTTGAGAAATTCTCACCTGAAGCAGACCACCCCTAAAAGGAAGGAAATTTCACTGCCCCGGAAAGTAGCCACTTTCAGACCCGATTGCATCCAAATTGTTCAGAATTGGAAGCCCCGAGTCTGGCCCAGAGGTTCAGTATCTTATTTCTTCAATTCCCCAACTCCGTGGCTCTCAGGACTCTTTAATAAGAATATTTTGAGTTTATAGCGTTTATTAATGAGCTCAGCAGACATACTTCTGGCCTATTTACGTGGTTGCACCCTTGAATTAAACGAAGGAATTCCTTCAGAGTCACGAATATAGCCTTTTTTCAAGTGGGGTTTTCCTCCAGCGTGTTGTGTAAAACCTTTGGTGCGCGGGCTATATCCATGTAGTCATTACACTGTTGCGATCACTCCATGTAGGTGATCTTCATGTGACCATCGATCCAATCGATATGTGGTTGCTTCTACTTTTTTCTTTCACAAAGGGAAAATCGAAACCTCATTGAGTCTATGGATTCGTCGAGTTTTACGCACCGGTAATAACACCTTGTAGAATTCCATAGCTCACTGCATGGTAACTCGTTTTTCCTTGTATCCGACTGTTTACGACAAAATAGTATTTTGTGAAAGGTATTTTGAAAATACCTTTCATAAATACCTCCCAAATTCTCATTGTTCAAGAGAGCCCGTCACAGCTGATGTACCAGTTGGCTACCCACCTTCCACGTATAGTACGCGCGCGCCATTCTAGGAAATGTTTGATTTTTTTTAAACTATACTCGCCAAAGGAATATACCATACTGTGGCTAGAGGGGTGTTTGATAAAGATAACGCAAAAGTGTTGAACAAAATCTTTGGAAATGTATCATTTTCAAAACTTGTTTTTACTTTGTAACTCACAGGTTATTAATGAATGATCCGGTCTTAAAAGAGGGTTTAAGACCGGTCCAGCGAAACAGACGCTGGTGATATCCTTTTCTTTCGCTCCCTTCTCCCTTATTAGTGGATGATCATGGAACAACTTCAGAAAGTTGTTTTATTGTTTGTTTTTTGCTAAATAAACTGTGATTGGTGTACGCGGGGACCAATAGCGGGTTAGCTGAAAAACAGCCAATGAAAGTCGACGTCAGTTCGTAACGAAGTCGATTGATTTCTGCATTACGGCATAATGTACATGTACACGTATACGGATTTAACTAGAGTGCGTTGTTCCTAAAAAAAAAAAAAAATGGGTTGATGCCGGTGTGGCGGTCTTAGCTGCCTCCCGGTCCCAGCCGCCCCTCTTGCCAAATATGGCAAAAATACGTCATGCCATCTCTGCGCACAACAACGGGAAACTCGTCCGTTTAAGTGGCGTGCTGAGCAGTGCAGTCCATGCACACTTCAAGTCGTACATGACGTGTAATGTACACCAAAGATAATCGCACCGCGTATAATTCGAGTTAGTCATGTGGACATCTCAGCACAGAAGACCAACGAGACCTTGCTTGTGTCGTGCTGAAATGTCCAACTACATCAGGGGGACCGCTGGGCCGGGAGACAGCTGAGACCGGCACTACGCTTCGAAACACTGGAGTATAAAAGGGCGTCACATTTGGAGAAGTCGCGCATCTCGTCGACATTACGTTGTCAGTAGCCGATGTCGGGTCTTTTTGCGTTGATATCGGTGACTGTGACCAAGTTTTGACCAGCGAAGACTCTGAGGTGCGTGTGAACAGCCGGATGGATACTTCAACGGAGAGGACCCGGGCCGGTAGTTGCGCGGTGTCACCCTACCGCCAGAAGCACGTCAACCTTCACAACTTTGCCACGGGGTCCCAGAATGTGGATTCCCTGCATCACAATGCAGTCACGGTGGGTACATAACAATAAACTAGCATGGCATTTTCTTTTCCAAAGGTGCAAAAACTGTGTTAAGCAATTAAACACTTTAGGAAACACTCCGTATGGGTTAATAATTTAAATATTATTCGTGTTAGGGTATGTGTAGGCCCCAGATATTGTTCGACAATAAGACACTGACGGGAATTTCAATTATGAACACGAAGTGTTTAGCTTTTAAGCATGTTTAAAAGAGAGATGATTATGTTGTGGCAAAACTAAGGTTTTTTTAAATAGTGTGTGCCTATTTTAATATTGTTAGATGGCCCATTGAAAATCATCTTTTTTTAGATGACATGGCTTATTATTATTTTATTTATTATTATTATTTCGTTTGAAGCACTCTATACAACTTCGTTTCGGATGAAGGTCTTTCTCAAGGTGTATGTTGAAGATTTAGAGGTGTTTTTGCTATTTTTAAAAGGTAATACATGTATTCCAATTTGTAGTTAAAATTTTGCCAATTGGCCTACAATGCAAAAACTGTGTTATCCAATTGAACTCCAACCAAAGAACTATCATAATATCAACATGTGAATATGTTTAAATACTAAAATGTGAGTTTCTCTTTATACCGCACCTGAAGACGATCAATTTGTATTGATCGAAGCGCGTTGAGCAAAGAACCTGTTGCCGCCGTGAAATGGGCTTACTACATGCATGTTGGAGGCGAACTGCCGGAAAATATGGCTTTATGCAACCCTGGTTCTTACCAGAACATGCCTTTAGCGTACTTTGTGCCTAGTCCAAAAGCATTGTTCACCTTCAAGCTAAACATTATGATAAGGGAAGACAATGGTATGTTTGTGCGTGAAAAGAGTTTTCAAGGTTTCTTTGCGTGTTTTGAAGAGTAGGGTCGACTTGAAAAAAAATTGCCACAACTATTTAGCGCTTGACTTACTTTGCCACTTTTCAGTTCTACATCACCGCTCAACATGGGAATTGGTTGACTCCCGATGCTGTCATTCTTACGTGAAGCTAATTGTGCCCCTTTGCTGATGCGAATAAAAGGCACAATTGAAAAGTGCCACAGACGGACGCGTTTCATTAGACAATATTTCTTCCACTAGTCTCTTCGAGTGCAAACGATTGTGTTTTTAATAAACAAGACAATCCTCATTAAGTTAAAGTTAGTTTATTAGAGCCTTATAGGAAGGCCTGAGATAGGCCTAATAACTTCTTCGCTTCGCAAGATAATTTCTTTGGCAATTCTGAGATTTTGTCACTTTTTAAAGATTCCAGAGTAGGCCCTATATATTTTACATAAAGTACACATTTTACATAAAGTTTGAAGCTTCGACGATCTACAGCAAGTCTCATTCCTCATAACACAATCCTCCATCCTTCGAGAATTCTGAAGCTTCCGAAATAGACTTGAATTTCAAGGCCTGGTGGAGACAGTGCAGAATTTCTGACTTGTAAACAAGCACAGTGTAGAATGCATGTACATACGTCCACAGTATGTATGCAGCACATCCGAAGTGTGGGAAACATTTTGACTAAAACGACTGTTTTTCTGCTGAATGTTATGGCTAGTGTGAAGCTCCGTGTTCGGAGAGACGGTGCAGGGGTTCGATTCTCACTCCATCCAATCGGACCGGTTCGCTACCCAGACCCACCACCGAAGTACTCAAACAAGCGAAGGAGTTCATTCAGCAATATTACGCTCACATCGGCAGGTAAAAATGCTTGAGTATTTGGTTTGCATTGTTTTTTTCTAACAAATATCCAAAATCATTAGAATATGTATTTTATCTCTTTCTGTCTTTCTTTTTTTTCTTTTCACCATAAAATACATGCAGGCTTTTCTTCCAGACCATTTGACCTTTATCTTCGACCATGTATACCAACCCCGATCACGAGTGGTCCGTATATCGCTATGACGTCATCGGGTATTATTGCAAGCATTGAAAGTTTGATATTCTTTAATATTTTAAATCAATGTAAAATCAGCTGAAAGGTTCCTCCCCTTACTCGTTGCGGAAAATGATAATGTGAATTGAGGTCTTCGTTTGTTTTTACCATAGATACAAAATCACCCAACCTTTGCTTTTTGTAGAAACCAAGTTTTGGCAAGATAGTATTGCTCATAACTTGCACCGGTGACGTCATGAAATACTCGAGCACTTATTTAGTATGAGGTTGATGAAGTTCGAAAATCATGTTCCGTTGATGCCTGTGGCGAAGTGTGTTGTAATCGTCTCAAGATTTGGAGGTACATGTACAATGTCCTTTATGCAGACAAGGCATGTGGGAGGTTTGAAGCTGATGACGTTGTCAGATTGCAAGATTACAACAAAAAAAACCTCAAAGGATTGAATGGCAAGACAAGCACTGTTTACAGCGATTTTTATGCTTACCAAGATATTCACAACTTAAATGGCATCGTTTAACGAAATAAAATTGTCAGCCCGATCGCGCATGCGTTCGTAACTAATTGACGAACGCTTATCTCCACTTTTTACTTGTGTTGTCCTTTTTTGTTTATTGTTAGGGCTTAGTTTGGTTTATTTTTCATGCAAGAAATAACTTGATAATGACAAGTGTTATTTGATATGGCACGACACGATTCGATGTCGTGTGTTCTTACATGATATACAGCTCGTTGGTGAGTTGTTCTTTTCGAAATCTCACACATGATTTCCAGCGAGGATCTTCCCGACACCCCCCCCACCCTCGTTATGTTTTTCTTTAAATCCCAAACACCCCAGTTTTCAAGTTCACGGAGAGCACACATAGAACGCTCAGTTTCAAGGTCTGGCTTACTGGGAAAACGAGACCAGAACAAAACTCATCACCCGATGTGGGGCTGCCGTTCGACAGATGTATTGTTATAATTTTTCCCAATATGCAGACAAGCTACTAACATTAGTAGCTGGGCAATGTTACCCTCATTTTTCACAGTCGCTGGACTGTGACCTGTCTTTTCAATTGTGCCGCCTTAACTTCTAGTGCGTTTGCCACGGTTCAAATCGTTGGTCTCTTTTGTGCGTAAACAATTTTGTTATCTTTAAAACCGACTGCTGCATACTATGTTGCAGTTCCAAAAATCGGTTGATTTTAGAACATAAGAAAAGTTTCATTTTTTTTTCGTTATGTATAATTGTGAATTCTCATCATACTCTTAAACCACTGTGGTCCATCTCAGAGCCAATACAGACGCTCATGCGTCACGGTTGGCAGAAGTCACTGCTTGCATTGAGACTACCGGGACATACAACTTGACGGAGGCCGAACTGACTTTCGGGGCCAAGCTAGCCTGGCGGAACGCCTCGCGATGCATTGGTCGGATACAGTGGTCGAAACTACAGGTGGGAAGGACAAGGAGATAAAGTTAGCGATAGATTTTAATCACCCCCCCCCAAAAAAAATCTGCTTCTTTCGTGCAAGGATGGATCGAGAGTTAATTCGGACAGGGTTTATTTTACCCGGAGGCCAAAATTTGAGAGTTGTATCAAACCTTGATAGCCTTCCTAAGTAACGAAGTCTTTCTTCTCTTACTGTGCCAAGGCCTCCTGTGTGGGGCTGATACCCGTTCAACCCTTGGATCTACCAGTTGCACTTCCAGAACTCAAAGCTCAATTCAAAGTTCGTCAAGACAGTGTAGCAAATTATATGTTACTGCCCCCTCGTTCGTGGGTGTGAATAGGCCTTACGCGTATGACGTCACGTTAGCTGGTATTTCTTCCCCCTGGGATACTCTCCAGTAAACCTTTTTTGCATTCATTGTGATGATATTCAAATAGCAACGTACAGTCTGTGTCAACAGCAACACATGAACTGTATCCCAGGGGATGGGGTATACATCCCCCTCCCCATATTGACAAGGGGGACGTGGTATTGAATCATCCACCCCACTTTTTCGAGGTGAGAAAAATTGAGGATTGTAAAATAGTTACATGTGTCTGACTGTCCAGCTTTCATAGTGTTCAAGCTTTCAAATAGCGCTAAGAATGGCAAAAACAATTTAAAAAGCCACAAATACGTCGTTTTTTATGTAAGGTCCTGCTCCTTTTTTTGTAAAATATTTCTTGTAGTTGTTTGACGCTCGCAACGTACGCAATACTAGAGGCATGTTAGAAGCAATATGCAAACATTTGCTGTACGCAACCAACAAGGGAAATCTAAGGTGAGTCATTTCAGCCAATGTCATGATTTTGAAAACCTTAAGTTTGTCAACATATTTTTTTTATTTCATGTCATTTGTTGGTCCTGCCCACCTCCCCACTCTCGTCTCCGGCACGATTCCTAGCTTGGGCATCATATGGGTGTAGTTTTTCTTTGATTATCGCCTGTGCCTTAAGGTTTTTTCCCCTAGTTCTTCTCGATTTTCTCCCACAAAACAAGAATTACTATTTCGATCTCCGACTGTGTTCCCTGGTCAGACAAAGATCGTTTATTAAAGGGCTAATGTGGCCTTACAGCTGCAGATGCAAATGACTGTACCGGCCAATTAAATAATTACATGTAAATAGAAAATCCGACACCACAGTCTGCAACATTCAAATAAGACGGTCTGCACCAGGGCTAGTTTAGACTGTTTTGTGGCCATTCGATTTTGTCAATAGATCGGCAATAACTGTGTTTCCATCGCGCACGGATGGGCACCACGACTACCGAGTGTGGAACACCACGCTGATCAAGTACGCCGGGTACCAGCAAGAGGACGGGACGGTCATTGGCGATCCGGCCAGCGTGGAATTCACAAAGGTACGGTGAGAAGGAACTGTTTCAATGGACACCTTACACTTGGTACTCGGTGACCATTCCTTCGACATGGCAGGGAACCACTGAAAAGCCCTGAAGTGTAATCTCTGTATTGTAGACACAACAGTGCATCTATTAGCTATTCTACTGTTCGGTTTGATTGCGACCTGGATACAAGAGATTGTTTCCTTCTTCGTCAAAGTAGGGAAAATAATTTTAATGGACTCAATCGCTGCAAGTATGGGCCAATTCTAAATTCGCTTTTCTCGAAAAAGCGAACTGTTGGATACCAAGGACACTTATATGACTAGCTGTATATTAGACGCATATATCATCAGAAAAGTCACCCCGAAACTTTTCTAAACCTTTCGAAACTTTCACTTTTTTCTTGTTTTAAAACCAGCAAGGTACTAAAATTGCAGTTTATTTGCAATCGGTAAAGGTCACTTCACGGGACAAGCGGCAAACAGTCTTCAAATATTGCCAAATCGACAAGGATTGGGCCTATTTCTCATCCTGACTCGGATAATAAGATGATATTAGAGTACTGCCTTGCCCCAATTTCAACCCACCGTGACGAGAATTCTGTTTTCAACAGGCAAACAAATACCCTGGCAGTACAATCGTTGAACTCAAATTTATATATTTTAACCCTGCTCACAGCGACTCAAACTATCACTGCACTTGTCCCCTGTCGCTCTTGTCATTGAATAGAGCAGTTTCAAACATAGTTGCTCACACCTTGAATTCTTCGACATCTTGTTAACTTGCCAGATTTGCCAGAAGCTAGGATGGAAGGGATCCGGCGGACGGTTCGACATCCTACCGCTCGTGTTGCAAGCCAATGGCGAAGATCCGGAGTGGTTTGACATTCCGGAGGAATGCGCCATGGAGGTCAAACTAAGCCACCCTGAGTAAGGCTACATCCGAATCTCTTGTCTAGAGCTAGGTCTAGGTCTTCACTCCATTGGAATTGCGTGGAGACGGGCAGGCAATAGACCTAGCCGTAGCTCTGGAAGCCCATTTCGGACACGGCCTAAGTCTTCGGATTGAGTCACTTTATGACACCAAACAAGAGTGTTCCCATTCTCGAACACCTGAAAGTTTTAATTTGGACTTTTACCCTGCCCAACGTGTATTTAAACATTGTATGCTCAGTGTATGCCCCGAAGGCTTGTGAAAGGGCAGGACAAAAGTCCCAAATTAATTCCATCTCCCTGGCGCAAACCCATCTTTGAAATACCTGAAAGTTTCCCGCCTTCACCTTTAAACTGTAACTGTACATGGAATTGCGATTAGTGTAAGTCAGTTTTTCACGCACGTGTAAACACAAAGAAAATGTCAAGTACTTTCGATTATCATCTTAGCGTCATAAGTCATAAGACTCACAGCATAAACGCTAAAAACTCCCTTTTATTGGTCATTGAATAATTTAGCCTTCAAATAAACTGCCATTTTGATCCTCAAATGAATTGATTCTTAATTAACCACTTCAAAACCAACATTGATAGTTTTCCTCTACAAAATGATTCGTGAAAAGCTTATGTCCGAAACTGGACACCACACCACGTTGAATCAACACTGCAGTTCTGGGCATTTTGTGGCAAGACAAAAATTAGTACTGCTTTTTGTGGGTTTAGATTCGACTGGTTTGCCGAGCTGGGTCTGAGGTGGTATGCAGTACCTGCCGTCTCTAACATGATACTAGACGTCGGTGGACTGGAGTTCACGGCGTGTCCCTTCAACGGCTGGTACATGAGTACCGAGATTGGAGCCAGGAATCTCTGTGATACCAACAGATACAACCTCCTGGAGGTAGGATTGATAGAAAAATGGATAGATAGATTGATAGGTGGATTAGTTGATGAATAATTGATTGATTAGTAAATTGATAGTTTATGGAGAAATTGAAGAATTGAATAATTGTTTGATTTGATCGATCGGTTGATGGATGGATGGATTGATTGGTTGGTTGATCGATCGATTGATCACTTGACTGAAAAACTGGCCGACCGAGTGACCGACTGACAGACTGAATAATTGCTGGGTTGATCGAGATTAGCTGCCGAATTTTTTTAACGCATATAAAGGACTCGTACCTTAGATTTATTGAATGATTTCCACTCTGTGTAGACGATAGCATCCAAGATTGGCTTGGACACAACTTCCAACATGACACTGTGGAGGGACAAAGCTCTGGTCGAAGCCAACGTGGCCGTCTTACACAGCTTCCAGGTATATCTTGTAGGATAAATATGACAAAATAGCACCGAAAATCATGAACATGCCTTCAAGTCGGAAACTTATCCTTTCCATTTACCGAGCGAGACCTCAGAGTTTTTTTTTGCCTTTTTGTTTCATCAGAAAGCTCAAGTGACCATCACAGATCACCACTCCGCCTCTGAGTCCTTCATCACGCACATGAAGAACGAACAGCAAGCTCGTGGGGGTTGTCCGGCCGATTGGGTCTGGATCGTCCCGCCAATGTCGGGCAGTGCCTGCCAAGTCTTCCATCAGGAAATGTTGTACTATACCTTGAAGCCTTCCTATGAATATCAGGTATGAATCTGTTCGTTTCCATCGTCATCCAGTCTCCATAAGTATCATCTGAAATATCACTATTAGCATCGTTTCCATTGATTACTTTGGCCTTTTGTCTTGTTATCGAATTGCTTTGTCAACATCGCCCTGGTATGAGGTTATTCCTTCAAGGGGAATGACATGACTTGTCTGGAGGTCTCCTTGGACATAATTTGCCCGACCAAGATCACGAGCCATCACTTTCATGGGCGCATTGAGGCAGCAAGCAACCCTTAAGGCTTTGTAACATCTGTACTTCCTTTACACAATTTGGTGAAAGAAATTAGCCCGTACCGGTGTTAAGAATAATTGGGACCACCCTTGTCTTTTTTAGGAGTGTAAGTTAAATGTTGTTGATAACGGGATATTTACTGACATTCTTTCACAAGGAACCAGCCTGGAAAACCCACTTGTGGAGGAATCGTTCGTCTGAGTCCGGACAAGGCACAACCAAGAAGACTTTCAAGGAAGTTGCAGAGTAAGAATGTTTTCACGGTGCGCCATGATGGAGGGCAGTTTATGTTATTACATTCATTGGCCATGAAAGGTCAAAACGTCTACTCAAGAAAATCACGCGAGAACAGTTGCCTTTCCTCCATGGTGGCGCACCGTGCAAACACTCTATTGTCACCACTGAAGTAATATTATGAGTTAGCAGAAACCTTTATGGAACAATTTCGACAGGAGTGCATGGTGTGGATCTATACAGGAGTGTTTTCTCACGGCCTTGTGTTCTTTCACAAAATCTAAACTCGCAAAGAAAAAAGGTCAGTTGTGGTCAAAAATAGTGCAGTATTGATCATTACATCCTTGGTTAAACTCCAAATACGTATGTGCTCATTTCACATGATGTCTGTATGGTCCTGCCGTAAAACTTTTATTTGCGAAAATTGCCCACGCAGCTATCAGAAGTGTGGGTATTGTGTGTCTGTCAATTGACTTGGCTCATTCTTCACCGCTGGGCCTGGCTGCGCCCAAACTTTATTTATGGAAGCCAACTGAGTGAGCAACCATTCAGTAACTCGAAGACCCGGTTGTGGGGCATAAAGTACTTGGAATTGTGATCACGCTTCGTTTAAAATCATTTTTTCGTGGATACAGTCACTGCGCTATCATGGCGCAAAAGCCACCGCGCGTCTCTCATGTTGTCGTCAGCAGGTTTGTGAACTATTGAAATCTATTCCGTGGCAATTTTAGTTTAATAATGGCGTCATTGTATTCCCCATGCAAAAGCTGGTGTTATTGAAAATTGAATGTAAAAGTTAGGAATTGAGGTGTGCTTGACCTAGAGACAGTAACCCCAGGCCTGCTAAAGTTGCAAACGATGGCAACTTTTTGCCACACAGTTGAATGTCATGGGTTAAGTTCTCTTTGGGCTTCTCAAACACAATGGACACCATTTTTTTTTAATTCAGTTGTTTTCCTGTACTTTGACTTTGTCTTTGAAGGGCTGTTCGCTTCGTGGCTCGGTTGATGATCAGGGCTTTGTCCAAACGCTTCAAGGCCACCATACTTTATGCTACCGAGACAGGGCGATCGAAAAACTACGCAGAGAGAATTCATAGGATGTTTAGCACTGCCTTCCATGCCAAGGTATCTGCAGATTAAAGAAATCGCAGAATGTTTCCAAAACAAGATTTTCAAGCCGAAGAAAAATAATACAGCCAAGTATTAGAACATGTACAAAAATATATTTCAAGCATGAAGAAATCCTGGCCAGAGTATGAAGCACACATCAAATTATTTTATTTTAACAAAGGAAATTATTAGGTATTTAATGTTTTTATCACACAATCTTTTTTGTTTGTCTTGTTTTCCCTCATGCAATTTCAACAGCATTTTCTGGTGACTTTACCCTTTCTGTTGGCTGTCAACATCGTTCCATCAACCATAGGTTGTCGTCCTTTCCAAAATGTCTGCTTTGTTTGGTCTGTTCCCTGAAGGTGTTATGCATGAATGAATACGATGTCGCCAACTTGGAACAGGAGGCTTTACTCCTGGTCGTGGCCAGCACGTTCGGTAACGGAGATCCACCCGAGAACGGCCAGGTACGAGGACCTCAGCATGCCCGACAGTTACCCGCCTTGAGCAGAAGCACCCCGTCATCGGTTGAAAAGAGCTATAATTGGCGGGGAGTGTTCATATGGTTGTTAAGGACGCGACTGTATGCATTTCACAGTCGTTCGTGAACACCAAAGAAGTCTCCGTTGCTAGGAAAATTGCGCCCTCTCTAGGTCCCCCCGGCCCACAGGCCCTACTTCGTGTCTAAATTCACTGTCGGAGAGCTTAAACGCACGCGTCTATGGGAAGTGGCCAAAGCCGCTCTCCTGTGGCTTTCATAGATGTCCGTGGTACTTTTAGCCACAGCCATGACATCAGGCCAAAGCTTTAGATACCTTCCATGTTTAATTTTTTTTCACATGCATAGGCTTTGCAAAGCAGCAGTTTTTCTTAGTTGGGCGGGATGGCTCATGATCTTTTGCGCGAACTATCGATCTCTTTGCGTGATTTGGAAAATGGTAATAAAACCGGGAAATCATACAGGATAGACCAATCGCACTGAGCGATCAGGCGATCGTGCAGATCGGCCAATGGCGCCCATCATATGGTGTACATGTATTGTAAGGTTGGCTCGATCTGCACGTTATTTTCACAGCAATTCTTGAACTCACATTGATTCCTTCTCAGCAAAAAAATTGCCAGCGACTAATTCTTTTCAGCGTTAAGCAGAAGGAATAAGCTTACTTCTTTTCAAACTTTCAGTCTCGAACTACTATGACGTATGACCCCTTAATGATGAAACATCAATAGTTTGTTGGTTGAGCTGACTTAGACATCTTTCTCCCTTCAGTCATTCGCTCGATATATCATGGAGAAGGCGAAGAAGGAGGAACGCAAGGCAGACAAGATTGCCAGGTAAAGTTTGAGCCCAAGTGGGAATCCTCGTAGGCTTCATTTCAAGCCGTTGGTTAGGGTTAAGCCCCTTCCGTGCGGCACCGCGCTAGACAGTATACCGCATACTGTACAGACATTCACTCGCTACGCGTCGCGCTGTGCCACGCGATGGAACTCTAACGGAGAAGCGCGTTCTTGCTCAAGCCCAGCAGAGCGCGTGATTGTCGACTCAAAAACTCAAGAGAGACAATCAATTTGCTCGTCGCAGTTGCTAACAGCAAAACAGAAAAATTGAGGAAAATTCTCTTATCCCTTTTAGAAGCACCTGTCTGCTGTGGATAAATAGTAACGTATTACATATTGGATGGTGTGATGGTTGTTATCTCTACATTTTAGACATAATGAATTCCACTATAGGCAGAAATAGTGGGATTGAGTCACTGCTTGTTTAAACCTGTCGGTAATTTGAGCGTTCATCTGAAATCAGCATGGTCTTTGGTGCGCTTAAAGTTCGCCTTCTTCACATAATCAACGAAGGTATCCCTTTCCAAATGATTGTGTTATACAATGGCCCTGACGGATATCTTTGGAGATCATGCTGCAAAAATAATCCCTGAATGACTTTTATCAAACAGCTAAGCTGCAGAAATGTTAATCGCGAAAATCAAGCCACGGTAGTCAGAAAAAGTCACCTTCATAGATAATTCTACAGTTATTTTTTTTTACTTAGACGTAACAGCAAGGTTGAGTTGGCGCCGACGACTGATTACATTTCTTGCGAGAAATTCTGCGACCAGCCAGTCCGAATCGCTCCCAGAAAAATCCTCCGCGCGAATTCCGTCACATCGATGGACGAACCCTCGCGCCCTCTGAGCGCTGTGAGGTAACCAAATAGCTTTTGACTTACCATCTTACACTGCAAACCTTGGTGTTAATTCAAAACCCTCTGCATGTGTCCATACAGGATGCCCCGTGTGGATACTTTGAGTGTAAATGTAACACCAATCTAAACCTTGGTTTTGTGTTTCTTTCTCAAAGACCAGACAGATTTGGTATCTTTTTTTATCTGTTTGTAGGTATTCCGTCTTTGGTCTAGGGTCGTCGGCGTATTCAAACTTCTGCGCCTTCGGGCATGCCGTCGACGAGCTGCTTGAAGTGTTGGGAGCGGAGCGGCTCCTGGAAATCACAGAGGGAGACGAACTCGGAGGACAGGAGATTGCCTTCAAGAATTGGGCACAGGAGATATTCAAGGTTAGTTTGAAGTCGTTACAACTCGTCAACAAAATGCTTGGACACGATCTATTTTATTCTGGTTTGAGAATGGACTTGAACCTTGGACCTCGAAATTGCCTTCTGGAAGTGAGCTCTATGTTGGCAAGTTGCCAGATTAAACTTTCCTTGCCTAACCAGATGATGATTCAAAAATATCCATAAAGTTTCTGCACCGCATATTTCCTTGTGTGTCATTGCCCAAGTTACTTTTTCCTGTCAGCGTTGAAGAAATCCAACACAACTTTTGAAAATTCTTAGGCCGCCTGCGAGACTTTCTGCATTGGAAGTGACGTGAACATCGACAACGTGACAGCGTCCGTCGGCATGCCCGATGCCACCTGGGCGGCGGAGAAGTACCGAGTCACGGCCGCCGACTACCAGGCCAATCCTGCCGACCTTAGCCGTACACTCAGCGATTTGCACGGCAGGATGGTTCTGCCTTTTCGTTTCAATTCGAGGACGAACCTCCTGAACCCACTATCACGGTAAGGTGTTACGTGCACAGCTTATGAATTTTACATCTAAATGTTCTTTTAATACGGGCGTTTCACAATAGTGTGCCCCAAAAGTTTGCAACGCATTGGCCAATCACAATGCGCGAAATCTGTCAAAGGGTCGACCGTGTGAATCGGCCGTATTGTACAACATTCCAGGTTTAATCTGACAAATGTTCCAACAGTTCCATTGAATAATATCAGAAAGGATAATTGTGTCCATTTAATGCCAAATTTTCCTTTTTGGGTTTGGTCTTAAGTAGCGGCCTGGAAGGTTCTTTTATTATATTTACGCCTTTGTCATAGTCCATGGATTTGAACAAACATGTATGACTTGATAGTTGGTTAGTTTTAGACCTACAGATATGATGTGCCTGAAATGCAGCTGTCGCTATTTTATTTTCTTGAAGGCGATCCACAATCCTTGTGAAACTAAACACCCAGGATCAAGATGAGTTTACCTTTGAGCCAGGAGATCACGTGGCCATCTATCCAACCAATGACAAGGACTTGGTGGAGCGGATTCTGCGCAGAATCGCGTACGAGAAGTCACCTGATACGGTCGTCAAAGTGGATCGGCACGAGGCCAAGGTCACGGAACTCGGTGAGTATCAGTGGGATTGAACGAGAAGACGAGACTTTTTGGTGAGACTGGCCGTACAATTGTAGCAGTAAGATTTGCAATTTCTCATTTTTTGAGAATATTCCGTCTTCTTCCGTACTCAATGATTTGCAATCAGGCACCGTTCGTACTTGGGTCTCCCACGATCGCCTGCCTCCCTGCTCCCTCCGCTACGCCTTGCTGCACCTGCTGGATATCACATCGACGCCTTCCCCGATGTTTCTCAAGACGCTGTCTCTGCACGCCAGAAGTCCTCTGGAGCAGAAACAGCTGTCGACCCTCGGCGAGGTATGAGCACGTTCATCTTCAAGCCACTCAAACCCCACACAAGCGACTTTCACGTCTGCCTCACCAAAATGCACCGAGTAACACAGTTTTATATCAAGTCACTACCGTTTGGAGTGCCTTACACGGAACGCAGAATAGATGCAGCTTGCTATGTCCCACCAAACTCAGCATCACGTGACCTTCACATCTTAAATTAACTTGTAAACAATAATAGGTCCACATCGTGTAAGAACCAGTTTCAATCGAGCATACAACAAACCGACATCGTGTGAAGCCGTTAGATTACCGAGGACTTCTCCGTTTTTCAGTCCTCACAAAAGGGACCACTTAGGTCCTCGGTTGCGATGCTTGTTTGAAATGTGTCCATAGCACCAGTGCTCGTCTGTTCACATTGCCAAGCATTTTGATTTAAGTAGATGATACGTAGAAGACTACTAACCACATTGTCAGAAGTAAGCGTCTTTACATCAAAGCATATGTTCGACAGTTTTGTCCTTTGCTCGATTTGTCTCTGGAATTTTCTGAAACCCTCCTTGAAATGTCCTCAGTCGTTTCTGCGATTTCTTACTGTACACTTCTGTTCTCCTTTTGTTTTAATATTTACTGCACCTGCACCGTTTGCTGTGATGTGTATGTGTGTGTTCCTTGCACTGTATAGCTACTCGAAGAACATGTGAGACAACGCAAAACAGACAAGGTTTGCTGTGGTACTTTTTATTTGAACCCTATTTTTATTGACAACGTCATTCCACTAAACAGGTATGATAAGAAACTGAAATATGGCTCGGTGGCGTGATTTGGATGATCGAGTTGACTGTCAAAATTCTTTTCATATCACCTTGTTTCGGCCTTGCAAAGACGGGCCTGGGAATGGGTCATGCGCTTTCCGAGTTCATACTTTCCATGTTTCGTTACATCTTGGATGGAGATTAGAGAGAGGTTTTACCTGGGGTAGGAATGCCTACTGTGTCATCGTGTGAACTGACCCTATGGGATTTGAGGTTCGTTTTGACGTTTTAAGAAAGAATGGTATATTTCACACGGACCGATGTTATAAAGTGAAGCCACTTCTGGTCTTGATTTCTCCTTTGTATTGTAACAGTCTTTTTTCTTGTTAACATTTTATGAGTTTTGTAATTGTACCGAATGTGATTAAGACAGTTTTCACACTGTGCCAGTTGAGACGTGAATTTTTTTCTGAAATCGTGGCCTCGGCTTTAGGTTCTTCTGACAGTTCTTTCACGATTCTAGGCACCTCTCCTTGAAGACAGTGTCTCGATAGTTTATAAGCTTTTCTGATGTAAGAACTCGGAATTCTGTGTAACGAAACCAGACTTTGGAGATTTAGGCCAAACCTGCCGATGAAACGGGTTTGAGAAGTGGTCTTAGAGTGTAGTTTTACTTCCTCCTCAGGGCTCAGCCGTCTACGATGAGTGGCTCTACTCCTCGTTCCCAAACCTAGCCGAGATCCTCGAAGCATTCCCCACGCTGCGGGTACCAGCTTCGCTACTTCTAACCTTGCTCCCACTCCTGCGGCCTCGCTATTACTCCATCAGCTCCAGTCCCGAGATGTACCCTGGGGAGGTTCACATAACAGTTGCTGTAGTCCAGTACAAATCAAAAGGCAAGCTCTGTCTACCATCAGTTTTGACTAGTGACCTTTGCAATCTGATTGGTCATTGAATAAACCTGTTGTCCGCTGATTGGCCAAACGCATGGGCATTTTGCATAATTATAATTGAAAGATATACTTTCTTATCTGTAGTTTTTAAACCTTTTCAAGGGAACCTAGCACCAGAACAGCCATTTTAAAAAGGATAGTCATTTTCATTACAAAAAATATGCATTTTTGAGTTTAAAGTTAAGTATATGCCACTCAAAAGAAGAAATTGCTTAGAAAAGAAAAAAAATGATAGTTTTTCTTAATCTATTTTGCAGTCAGTGGTGCTGTTCGTCGAGGAGTTTGCTCTACTTGGCTGGACTCACTCAATGATAACGACGTTGTGCCTGTCTTCATCAGGAAGTAAGTGTGGACCCACAGGGATCGGTGATAAAACGATTGACAATTCTGGGCCTTGGCAGTCAACTCTGGTATCCTCAGAAATCATATAGGACTCTTTGTCCATCTTGATCTGGAAAAATATATCGAGTCAACAACTAGTCTTTTGCGATGGCCCCACCGACGGAGACAAGCGCCGTGATGACTGCTGCACGGAGCCGTTATTCCGTGAGAGTCAGTCTGATCAAAACCCCAAGACAGTGCTTCCATCATCAAAGCGGGCCACCGGGAATGTACAGAGAAACGTCACTGGATTTGTCTATATTTCATGGTATCAATGCTTACCTGAAGCAATGTTAATCTTTCTTTATGACTGTTTTATTTCTTGTCTATGTCAGGGCACCATCTTTCCGCATGCCCGAGGACCAGACAGCCCCCATGATTCTCGTCGGGCCCGGCACGGGGATTGCTCCCTATCGCAGCTTCTGGCAACAGCGCCAGCACGACCGGGAGGCCGCCGGCCAACCAGAGGGCGGCCGCTTCGGTGACATCACGCTCGTGTTCGGATGCAGACACTCCAAACTGGACGACCTCTACCAGGAAGAGAAGATGTTTTCCAAGGAAGAGGGCGCCCTCACCAACGTCTGGACCGCGTACTCCCGGGAGGTCTATTTACCCAGAGTAGGTCTTTCGACATGTGAATGTTCACGAATCACGCAAACTGCTCCGTTAATTTTCACCTTTAATTTTTCAGATGTTATTATATCAATACTTTAATTTTATGGTTGAATATTATTAACAACATAGATTTCTTCTCACGGTGTTACAGACATACGTCCAAGACCTTCTTCAGAAGAACGGCCAGAAAGTGTACGAGACTATCTGTGGAAGACGAGGTCACATCTATGTATGTGGGGATGCAACCATGGCAGCCGGTGTACGCGTTGCCATAGAAACCATCATCGCCAAGCAGGGAGAAGTGACAAAAGAGAAAGCTAAGAAACTGGTTGAACGCCTCAAGGTAAAGCTAGCCACTGTATGATGTATATATTTACAAGTCAAGACAGGATGAAGTTTCCCTCTAGACTTTGACGTATGTTTAATAGTATAAATCTTCGTTTCCCATGATGGTACTCGATTCTCACTTTTTAATTTGTAGGAGGAGAATCGATATCACGAGGACATATTTGGCATCACGCTCACGACCGAAGAGGTCACGGAGAAGCTGCGAGAACTAAAAAAGCGAACCGAGAACAACAACAAAATGTCGGTCAAGGAACTGGCTGCGCTCCGCCTGGTATGTCCTAGCCCACAGTGACAATAACGGTGTTGCGACCTTTTTTTATATAACAAAGAGATCTTTACTGGGAGTTAAAAGTGTCGAAATGTCCAAAGAAAAGTCCCATGTGAGCACGGCTTATGGGACCGAGTGACCTACCTGAACTAGAGTGCCATAAAATTTGGAGCGGTTGCCCACGCAGTAAGTTTCATTTAACCAAGTAACCAAAATTCTGGAAGTGGCTTGGCAAATGCGAACTGACTGTGCACGTGAACACGTCTTAGATTATGCCTGATTTCGGTCAAAGCAAATGTGTGTATGCATGAAGGCCTAAACTTGTTGCAGTTACATCCAAGTTGTTGTTCGTTAAATCATGAAATCAATAAATATTTCTGATACTGATAAAGATCCCCTATGATTGGAGACATCGGAAATACTTCATATCCCTCCTTTGCCGATTTCTATGAAGTTTATCAAAGATTTTTACGGGCATTGTGGCAGTTTTCTGTTTTTATCCACTTTTCTTGGCCACACAGGCATATATCTTGACTCGAAAGGCCGGTCTCGGACTTCGAACAGCCAGTGACGACGTGGTGATCCAAGCGTGCAGCCCGTATTTCCTCAAAAAGGGGAGGGACCGAATCATATCCGCCCCTCTTCCCTACAGGTACAGACACTTTGGAGAGTTTGCAGGGCGCCCTCTGGCGGGCACTTTTTACTCTCGTTGCCACTTTTTGGGGGTGCACCGTGCAAGCTCTCTGTTTGACGCCGCGAAAACTCGAATTCGCATTTGATGTCCAAGAGACACGATCGTAACATGAAAGAGGAAGTATCGTTGGGTTGTTTGATAGCAGGCCATCACAGTTTCAGCAGTGCAGTACATGTCACTGGAAATCGGTATGGAAAGTAAGATCATTGGATGCGTGATTGGCCCGCCCGTTGGTTTGTGAAGTATTTTCATGAAGAACTTCGTTACTCTTGCTCTTTTCGGATGCTCTGCAACGGAACCATTTCAGACCTTTATTAACTGTCCTTTATCTGTTCTTGTTTTTTACTTCGACAGAAGTCGCCCGCTGCAGTCATACTAACACGGAGCAGCCTGGAATAAAAATCGCACATTATGAGACTACACGATTCAAACTATTATTATGTGCTGTGGAGATACCCTAAAAATGACGATGCATACAAATGTACAGTTATTGCGCCTTGGGCTTTGGTTTGTCGTGAATTAATGCTTGAAGTAATCACTTTGTGAAGCCTTGTGATGTAACATTTTGTTCTCTTGAACAAATAATAGCAAATAATGCAATAAAGACAGCACATGCATATGGGGAGCTTAGTCAAAAAGACAGGCAAGGCAGTATCGTTATTGATGTTGTGAATGAAAAGATTTTCCTGGATAAAATCAGACTTATGAATATGTACTACCTTTCGTGCATTTTGATCTGCCTACTTTTGAGAGTAAGTTTATTTTGGAGATTAGAGTTTTAAAGTTTTAACCAAGACTTTTCATTGTGACGGTAATGAATCATTACAATTTTTAGGTATCGATTGCAGTGATTTGCCGAGCATGATGCTATAAATGATTTGATAATAAGAATTTTTGAAAAATGTTTAATTTGCGTGGGGAGCAGTTGCTCGATCTGCACGATTTGGCGATCGTGCTTCGAGGACAATCGTGCTGCGCCATCGGTCAATCCATTTTGAACTCTTTCAATTTCCTTTTCTTAAAAGCAATTTTACACAACCGTGAATAACAAAGAAAAGGTAATCCAGCCGATGGTGGAAATGTTGGTTGACAGATCGTGCCGCGAGATCGACCGGCAGCGCAGCTGTTAACCGACGCGATTGCGCCTAACACTCGTTACGAGTGGACTTGGTAACTTCTTTCACATGTATACACAACGCTGATTTTTGCAATCTTCACACAGTTTCATGGAAAAAACACCACAGGAAGTATTCTTCGATGTGAGCTCCAGTTAAGGAAAAGGGCTGCATTTTAATTTTCACAAATTTAGTATCGATTGATCCTATCGTTGAAGATTAAATTTTTAAAAACGAAATAATGTATTCATTTTCTAATCAATAAACAAATGTTTTACTGGTAAACTGTTTTTGTCTCCAGAACTTAAGGCAATTATATTACTCAGCAATTAAACTGAAAATTGACACGAATGTTATAACAGAACGATTTGTCAAAATAAAAACATATGCCGGGTGCAAACACTGTTGATATGTCTGGGGAAATGTTTTCATCGATGTTTCGTGCAAAGCAATTCCCTTCCCCTAGCTAGGCTTTGTCAAAAGTTATGACCCTCTAATGGTGGAGCAACATAAAGTAGTGCGACATAAACTCAGCTGGAGCATGCTCAGAACCAAGAGCGGAGCGATATTAGACTGAGGTTGCAGGCCCAGAGCCCCGACCAAATCACGATTTGCTAATTCTTGGTGCTATTTTGTACTTGGTTGATTTCCTCCTGAAACGTCGCCTAGGAATCTTAACTAGGAGGTCACGGGGAGGGTCGGTATCTAAGTCTCGGTCATGATGTATTGTAATTCTGTTTAGAGGTCACGTGCGTCACAGAACTAGTGATGTGTTGGGGCAGGTCATTCTATAATTCTATACTTTTAGAGCTTTTTGTGCTTCATAGACTAAATAGTTTTCAAAAAGAAAGGATTGGAGCTACCCACAGGACTACCAGCCTTATTTTCTAAAAATAGTGGTCACAGCAGGATCCTCCAAATTGCATTTTGCATTGTAAGCATCAATTTTCAACTTACGACGGGTGGCGGGCTTTACGACTATTTTACGGGTGATAATATCTGAAGAGAAATATCTTTAAAAGTGACAAGTCAAGCCACTTTTTGAAAAGAAAATGAAAAGATGATTATGCAAGCTTTAATTTGATAGGTGACTTGAACATCTGCGACACTAATGAGTATTTTTCCTAATTTTTGAAGTGGGGTATATAGCCACACACACACAAACCCATGTCTGTGTGAATAGCACTATTGTCGTGGGCAGTTACGCCCTCTTAAAAATTAAGTTCTAGGGAAAGCGAAACAGCTGCAGAGGGCGCACTTCACAGGGACAGGAAAACTCATATCGGTGGTTCCCGGCAAAATAGGTGTTTTCCGATACGCATTTTTTCCTGCTTACCAATGATGTAAACAGGTGAAGTTTCCTTGGAGATTGCGACCGCTGTGGACGGTTCCGTCTTGTTTTCAGGTGAGATTTTTATGTTTATTCGCAAAATAATGTCGAGTTTTACACAGTTCTATTTGCGCCATAGCAATTATTTATTGAATTGGATAAAATTAAAAGTAAACTTCAACATTCTGTTTCATGTTTGCAAACCAGGCTAAGGAAACTCTCGTGCTAGTCTTTTATTACGCGATTGTATTGCATCTGAATCGTGAAATTTTTTAATGGAAAGTGAATATAGGCCCACGTTCAGCAAAAGGCGGCAGTGCGTAATGACAGCAGAAACCTTTGAAAGTGAAAACACACTGTCGTATTTATAATGACTGTTTAAGACCGAATAAACACAATTTTTCATCTTGGGTGAAGTCAGTTAAGTTATCATGGTTATTGCACGATTGCATCGTCACATCGTGCTAGGCCCTACTACGCACAGTTGATTTTGTATGAAATCTCTAACTAAGCCTAACTTTCCTTTTCCAACAAAAATTTCACAACTGCGAATTAGAAAAAAAAAGGGATTTGCTGACAGTGGAATTATTGGCCAATCCAAATTGTGCATTCAGATTAACTGACATGTAGAGATCAAGCAATGCTCAACTTCTAGTGTATGTGTTCTAGGCTAGGCCTATAGGCCCCTGTGGGGTATTCTATAAATTTTTTGTGTCCCTATTACATCTGACATATGATTTTGTAAGTTCAGAACACATTCTCTAAGTTTCCACGAGTCATGAGTTGAAACGGATTATCTGCCAAACAAATAGAAGTAGTTTGAAATCAATTCCAGTGATATTTCCATGTCAAATGACACAGGTCAGGTGTAGCAGGGACACAAATATGTCACAATTTTGGTCACTGAATTCATACAGTGACTCATATCTACATCTATGCCAATACTAAGAAACCCCACTTGGCGATACTCATTTTTTTCATGATTTATTCAGTTCTTTGTTAAGGTAATTATTGCGTAACTGGCATCATGGCTGACCAAGACGAACAGCCGCCGTCTGATGAGTTGACTGCAGAAGTCACCGAAGATAACGCTGCAAGCCAAGATGCACCCGAGGAGGAGATGGCGCAAGGCGCCGAGCCCGAAAAGGAAATGAACATTACCAGTGAGCAGCCAACCGATGACACGCACGAGGGACAGGAAGAGACAAAAGATGAAGAAATGACAGATGAGACGGGGAAGGAGCAGACTGCAGAAGATGCTGATGAGGAGAAAGAAGAGGAGGCAGCTGAACAATCTGAGGATGTGGGAGAAAACGAGGAGCAAGAAAAAGAAGATGGAGGAGATGGCAAGGAAGACGGAGAGCAGTCGGCATCCAAGATGGCAGAGGAGGACGACGGGGAGGAGCCACAGACCATTGCTCCACCCCCTACCGCAGAGGCAGGTGCCTCGTCGCCCCAGCTGACCAGGGAAGCCACCGAGGAGCCGATCCAAGAAGAATCCACCGAGGGCCTGACGGCAGACTCTGCCGTGGAACCTGCGTCTGACCAGGGTGGGGAAACGGTCAAGCCATCAACACCCGTGGACAAACCGGCCCTCACACCACCAGTTACTGATCGACCAAGCACAGCCAGTTCTGCAGCTTCAAATGTTGAAGTCTCCACCAATGCCCTAGTAAGTGATATATTTCAATGTGTCTGAATTTTTTGGTCAGTCTGTTCATTACCAAGAATTCAAATAAGCAAAAACTACTAGAAATTAAAAAAATATTGGTTTGGAAGTGAATTCAAAGTAAATCTTATATTCAAAATAAATTTAGTAATTCTAGAACTGATTATCTGTGTACCACTTTCATTTGGAATCATCTTTTTATAGGGTTTGTGCTGGTCGTTTGGTGTCAACAAGAATGTCCCGACAATTAATCTGACCAATCAGCTTCGTCGGATGTGTGTCTACACCACCGGACACACAGCCGTGCTGTATAACTTTGAGAAGAACACGCAGAAATTGCTGCAAGGACACGTAAGTTTCATTTCTCTCGTTTATGGCCATATATCTTATTCCGCAAATTGATATCTGAGTAGCCCACTGTATTTAAGAAATAAATTTATCAGATGTTTTGGTTGAATTTGTTATTCTAATTGTTATTAATTTGCAGCAATTGAGGTCTCTCGTAAATTGTGAGGATTTTTTTCTGATGTAAAACTCAGCTACTCATGTTTCCTAGTTTAATCATCGGAATGAAAGGATAAGCATAAAAGGAAAGTGCATGCAGAGGCAGATGTGAAGAAGTAGTCATTCTATAAATTTGGGGTCCAAAGTGTGCCATTTTTCCGTCTCTGTTACTTCCGACATGTATACCATCTGACATGTTTGACAAAGGATGTATCGTTGAAATTAATTTCAAACTATTTTTATTTGTTTGGCAGGTAATTTGCAGTACTTATTTACTCTTTGAAATTAAACAATTAGTTCTTAACATGAAGAATCAAATGCCAGACGTAACAGGGACGGGAAAAAAATGGACCCCAAACTTATAGAATGACCATAAAATCTCTTCTTTTTTTAAAATTCAAACGAAAATTTTGGTCTGTGTGTCCACCAGCAAGGCATTTTACCTCAATGTCTTGCATTCTTTCTGTAGAGCAACAACATCACTTGCACCTGTGCTAGCCGAGACAAACGCTGGCTGGCCACCGCTGATAAGGGACCCAACAGCATGGTGATCGTGTGGGACACGTACACTGGGTATGTTATCAAAACTTCACAAAAATATCACGTGAGTTCTGTTGTATTTACAACACAACAGTGCTATAGTCAGGTTCACAACAAGTGCTTTCATAAGTCCAGTCACAAGACTTGTTACAAGACATGGGCCATTTTCCAATACTCAACTTTGTCTCCATCTCAGGCTTCGTTCCCAAAACCAATCCCCGATTGTGGGCCTGAAGCGTTTAAATCAAATTGGATTACTGTAATTTTTGGCTCTCTTGCATCTTATTTGATGTTATGTGGCACTATTAGACTGATTACTGCCCTCACAGCTTCAAAGTCAGCTAGCTAAAAAACAGTTGAAGCGTGAGACGGAGGCGAAGTTGAGTATTGGAAAACGGCCTTGGTGCTAATGGCTGGACTTGTGACAGAGGCATGCTTTCGCTGCAGTTCATTTGAATAACTCGGGACTCAACTTGAGACTGGATGAATAGATATTGCCCAGACTTTCAGCAACTTGTGACAGAACTCAGTTGACCAATTCAGAAGTCAGTCATATTGAATTAAAAGTGAGGTTAACTTGCTTATTTTGGAAACCTAAGAACAAAACTGAAAGCAACAAGAACAGTTCAATGCAGATTAATTTCATGTACGATGATTTATTTCAAAAAAATTGATTAAAAAAAAAGTGAGGCGTGGAATCCAAAATGGTCTGACTCCATCACATTTGGAACATGACATTGAGTGAGATAGAGTCAGGGAACATGATCCAGAATGGCTTCTTTGTGAATTAGATCTGTTGCTATTGCTTTGCATAGTGATACCGAGACATTTTGACATATAATGTGTGATATTTGCTGCGTTTCTTCTTGAACGTGTACGCTTTGCTAAATTGCATCAACGCCTTGTCCTTTTACACTGTGTCCTTGACGTTTTCTGTCTTCGATATTGGCTTCATTTTTTCCCTTGTAGGACTCCTGTTCAGACAATATTTGAGGCCCACAAGGATGGAGTGGTTGCCATGGCAATGACTCCGGATGCTAAGTACATCGTCACCATGGGAACCATCCCTAACCAGGTATGTTACTTGGCTGAGTATCATTTTGTTCAAGTTCACTCTTTGTTTAATCATGGTTTTGCCACCCCGAAATCTTTAGATCCACTCCCCACGCAAGAATTGCTCACTTTTTTGTCATAAACAAAACTGCCTAGAATTGTCTTTTGACAGTGCATCTACAGTTTCCCCAAGTTCCAAAATTTTCCCTGTACCTTAAAATTCTGGAAAAAGTTTTGCTCTTCGAAGAAAAATAAATCAGTCTTCCCACATGATAAGGGTAGTCCTATGATTGTGAATTATGGTTTAGCCCTCTGGAGTCAGTGAATGGTTTTAGCCATAGCAGAGGTGACCACTGATTGGCTGTCTCTTGCAGTCTCTCTCCATCTGGGATTGGACGACGGATGGCGAGACCCCGGTCTGCTCCACCCAGCTCAGCAGCAGCTACGGCCAGCAGACGTACGTCCACTTCAATCCGGACGACACGAGCCAGATCGTGTCCAACAGTGACAGCCAGGTCGTATTCTACGCATGGGTAAGCAGAGCTCAGTCAGGTCCATTCACTCTGAAGGTTCTGTTGGCAGGGGAGGTGCCAGGATTGCCTGGGTCAGGGATGGTGGCAGACCAGAGATGGTTCAGTGGATGTTTGATGGGGTTTTTTTTAGTACCTAAAAAAGGAAAGTTTGAGCCCTAAAACCCTTCAGGGGATCTTCTGTTGAGCAGAGAAAACCAGATGATCATTCATCTTTCATTCGCCTTGAGCGGACGTACCCTTTCAGCGGTTTCCAAGAGCCATGTTGGTAGAGAGTGTTCATTTTGTTGGTAGCCACGTAGCGGTAACGCATGCATTTTGTAGTCTTTTGTGAGCCAGCGAAGTGCAGCTCCCACCAGAGGAGCCTCTGTTGCTCGGAAAGTTGCACCTCCACTTTGTCTCGCTCGGGGGAGATAGGTCAAGGGAGTTGAAAGTATTCTGTGGTCCAAAATTCCCAATAGAGCATGCTGTTAAGACAGCCAGATTCCCAATCCTTCACAAGTTCCAAATGGTCTGATTTTCCAGAACTTTGCGAGTATCGAAAATGGGAAAGTTCATACTTTTAAGTAGGCACTTAGGAATTGTTGGTATCCTTTAGGAATTGTT